TCTCCCCAGCCCCCCCCCCCTTTTTCTTTTTTCTTTCTTTCTTTTTTTGGTTTTTAAGACAGGGTTTCTTTGTGTAGCCTTGACTGTCCTGGAACTCATTCTGTAGGCTAGGCTGGCCTCGAACTCACAGAGATCCACCTGCCGCTGCCTCCCGAGTGCTGGGGCTAAAGGTGTGCGGCACCACCGCCCTGGCTCCAGCCTTGTCATTCTTAAGGGCTGTCTGCCCATTCTCCTGCAGGCTGCTCAAGAGTCCCAGAAAAAGGGGCCATCCAGGCACCTGGAGAAGGGTGACTCCCATTCTAGTGGCACAAGGAATGAGAATCTAGTGTCTGAGTGTCCTCATAGAAGCCGTATGAAACGGAGTGGGAGGCCAGACCCCAAGGTACTAGGCAGGACATGGCCAAGCTAGGGATGACTGCATGTCAAGGGGCCCATCCCCTCCATAGGCTCCCCAGTTACTTTTTGGGGACCAGTGGGAAGGATCTGAGCTCCCACCCTCACCCGCGAGGAGCTGCTCATACAGGTAGACCTATCTACTGAGTGTCTGTCAGGAACCTAAAGCCCCCCAGGTTTGGGTAGATGACGAGATTCTAACTGCTTGCCATCCAGGCTTATGACAGCGATCTCATTTGCCATGACTACAGATAGTGGGCACTGCAGCAGGGAGTAGTAGGGACATGGGGGAAGGGAAGGAAAGGCTTTAGGAGGAAAGGATAACGGAACAACACTCAAGGTCTTACAGAGTCCACCCAGGGAAGAAGGGTCAGAAGGGTGCCAAGCTCCTGAACTAAGAGGACTACCTAGAACAAGAACTGGACGGGAAGGCAAGGATGGGGCTGGAGAGGGCAGCGAGGGCTTTGCGTAAAGGACTCCGTAAGTGTTCAGGAAATATATCCCAAGGCCGGGGTGGGGGGGCAGCCCTTGGGTTGTGTTAAGTGGATGAGGTACACATTGGTGCACAGCATACAGAGGCAGCCTTTCCCTGTGCTCAGTGGAGCACATTGAATGAGAGTGGCCGTGAGTGTATACCTATATCTATAACTATATATCTATCTGACCATCCATTATTATTATGGTATATGATTTAATATGTTAGACTAGTATTACATATTATCTATGTAACATGTGTTATGTAAAGGGTATAGACAAGCAAATGTATTTGAGACAGGATCTATGTTGCCCAGGCTGGCTCTAAACTCCCGAGCTTAAGTGATCTTCCTGTCTCAGCCTCCTGGGTAGCTGGGATGACAGACTTCCTAATGCCTGACTTAACTAATCTCTTCTGTTACGTTGTGTATCTTTTCCGACCTGGTCTGAGTAAAGTTATTTGTTAAGATCAGCTCCTTGCAGATGCTATCTAATTCACCTTTTGTCTTTGAATTGTTTGCTGTCAATTGTAGTTGAATTGCTCACCTAGAATTGTCATGTTTAGACAGATGAACTTTCCTTGTGGCTTTTGGGTTTTCTGCCATGTTCGAAGAGGCCTTCTTACTGGGAATTATAAAACATGCATTCATATTTTGCTCATATAGTTTATGGTTTAAAAGATTGGTTAAGCCAGGCATTAGGAAGTCTGTCATCCCAGCTACCCAGGAGGCTGAGACAGGAGGATCACTTAAGCTCGGGAGTTTAGAGCCAGCCTGGGCAACATAGATCCTGTCTCAAATACATTTGCTTGTCTATACCCTTTACATAACACATGTTACATAAATAAAATATAATGCTAGTCTAACCTATTAAAGCATACACCATAATCATACATTGCCTCAAACAGCCAGCTCCCCAGCCTGGCATCAGCATGACCAGAAAACACTGGAAGAGAGCGTAAGCTCAGCATAAACTGAGATGTAAATTACAGTCCAGTCCTAAGCCTCCTCAGCTGCCTTCTTCATGCCCAACCTCTCCAGGAAGCAGAGTCCCATTTCCATGTGGTCGATGACAGCATTCCTCCCCAGAGCCTTGAAAAAGCCCTGGTTAGTCCCGGACTTGGAGGGATGTGCGCTGCCTACCGGAGCCAGCACTGTAATTAGCAGAGCATGTGATTATCCCAGCCACGTAACTATCAGCTGGGATGTTACGAAGATGATTCTTGGAACCCTTCCCTCCTGACCTTTTCCTCCAGCCTCTCCATGTCCAGAGCAGCTACAGAACGTTTATGTTGGGAGGCTTCGGAGGTTGCATTGCAACAGTTTCCGGGTTTCTCCTTAGGCCTATTCTTAGCAACCCTTATCCTTGAGAGGACAGAGGCCAGCGCCCTCTGACATATGAGTGGTGTCGCCGCCCGCTTGCCTTTGGACACTTGCCCCAAGTCCATCCTGAGACTGCAGCTGACTTCAGCTAGTCAGTTCCCTGTGGATCAGCACCCAACCCTGACATGGCAAGGGGTCCTATGCCACCTGGGCAGATGGGTGGCCTTCCTGTGCAGTGACCTTGGAATAGTTCATGCACAGATCCAGGGAGGATCCAGGGAGTCTGGAAATATTTCAGGGTCACAGTACATGAGTGCAGAGACATTGTCCCCAGGTTGAGATCTTGTTCTCGAAAACCGCTTCTTGATTAAGACCTCCACGGGTCCCAAGACACTGGGGAGGTGGCTCAGTGAGTAGCGCTCGCCTTGCGAGCAGTGAGCACTGGAGTTCAGGCCTCCATCGCACACAGGAAAAGTCAGGCACTGGGGCACGTGTCGGTAACCACAGCACCAGAGACGGAGACAGGAAGATCCGTGGAACTCACTGGCCAGCTAGGCTAGCCAGATCAGTGAGCGCTGGTGTCAGCGAAGAGACACACTGTCCTTAAATCTCATGGGAAGAACAATAGAGGAAGACACATGACATTGTACTCTGGCCTCTAGGCTCATACCTGTGTATACATGGACACACACACACACACATGAACATGTATGCAGGCATACAATAAACACAAGCAGTCTGACTGGCTTCTGATACCCCTCTGGTCAGCTTAATTCAACAAGCACCCAATGCCAGAGCTTCTATTTCTAGAGGCGTTACAAGCAGAATTGGGGGTAGTTCTGTGACCTGATGAGATTACATTGGTTATTCCCATTTTAGGGATGGGGAAATTGAGGCTTGGGAAGGGTAGACTATGGCTTGGCATCACACAGTTGTTGGTGACGGCTGGATTAGAACTCAGTCTTCCAGGCCCAACAGTCCATACATGCAAAGAGGCTCTGTCTTGTAAGCTGAGAGCCCCCCAAGCTGAGAGCTGACATGTTTCAGGAAAAGCAGGTGATCCGCTGTTCTGGGCAGACAGAGAGGCACAGAGAAGAAGGAAGGGAGGTAACCAGGTCACAAAGGATGCAATGGAGGATGGCTTCATCCAAAAAAAAAAAAAACAAAACAAACAAACAAACAAAAAAAAAACAACAAAAAACAGGCGTATTGGCACACACCTTTAATTCCAGCACTTAGGGGGCAGGGGCAGATGGATCTCTGTGAGTTCAAGGCCAGCCTGGTCTACATAGTGAATTCCAGGACAGCCAGGGTTACTTAGTGAGACTCTATCTGAAACAAACAAGCAAACAAACAAAAACAACACAAATCAAATTTTTATTACATGTATTGTGTGTGTGTGTGTGTGTGCGAGTGTGCTTGTACACAGGTGAGCATGTGTGCCGACAACTTGTAGAAGTCAGCTTTCTCTTTCCACTCTGTGGGTCCCAGGGATTGTACTAAAGTCACCAGGCTTTATGGCAAGTGCTTTGACCTGATGGGCCATCTTGCTGGAATTCTGAATGATACGAGAGGCAGGGAAGTTCTTGCTGGATCCTGAGGAGAAGAGTGACCAGGCTTCAGGCTTCTCAGCTCTCTGGTACCCTTGACCTTCGGGTTAGCCTCTCAGACTGGAAGCCACAGCTCTGTGTTTCTTGGGAATCCTGACCATTAGCCACTGGACTGTGACCAGGAAACATGCAGCTGACTCTGTGACACTCTGCACCTCTAAAGAAATGAGCCTGGTTGTCTCTCCTCCCCGAGAGATGGGCAATCCAGAGATGCCCAGCCACTGGGAGAAGCCTGCAGAGAAGGAACAATCTGACCTGTTCTAGTCTGAAAACAGTTTTGAAGGTTAAGTTCTGCAAACTCTCAAATCATCCTTAGATTGTAGCCATGAGCAATGCCTATAAATCAAGAAAATGGACTCGATTTTGGTCCAGGACTTCTGTGCAATTCGGAGTAAGCCCTGCACTGTCCTGATTGCCCCATTGGTCTGTTGTCTGTTTGCATGTCAGGGCTCAGGGGGCCCAAGCAGCGAGGAGTGTCCCTGGGGACTTCTAGAAGTAGGCCCAATGGATGTTGGCTGCTTCCTTCCCTTCCCCCAGCTTGGTCCCTACAGGAACTCGGCTATGATGTGCCCTTCTGTCCTCTCCACCCTCCCATAGCCAGCTCATAGGTGATACCATGGAATCAGGGATGGGCACAGGGATGAGCCCGAAGGATAGACTTGGCTCTTCCTCACTCATCCTCGCTGCTCTGTTTTTCCCAGGGTCAGCCGGGCACTCGCGGCTTCCCTGGATTTCCGGTAAGTACTGAGAGCTAAGATTATCAGAGATGGGTAGGTCCTGGGCCTGGTTGGGTTAAAGTGCATCCGCCAAGATAATCCCTGCGGCCCATTTCCCTCCTGGTTTCCTAGTCACTAAAGGACCCACTCTGTAACCTTTTATGGGCCGGTCGCTCAGGGCTGGCTCCTGCTACAAGAAAGGAAGAGGTATCTATATAGATAGCGGTGGCCAGACAGGAGCTGAGTGAATGAACTCCTGACTGCTACATCCCATTTGATACCAGGGTGTGGGCAGATGGTGAGCGAGAGAAGTGAACTGATTGGCCTCTGGTCAGGCACTGAAGAGAGGCCTGCCAGGGAAGCGGCAGTAGGGTGGTCATTGCAGTATCCTTTAACCCTTGCCTGTGGAGCCTAAATAGGCTCTCAGGGGCAGGACCAGGGGAGTCACTTGTCAGTGCTGACCAGTATTAGCTTTCAAGGAACGCACTGTTCCCGGACTGCTTCCTGCGCAGGAGACCCGGGAAACTTGGCATTTGCATCAAGCCTTTGTCTTTCCAGGGTCCCATTGGTCTTGACGGCAAGCCGGTAAGTGGACTCTTTGGGGTAAGTAGACCCTTGAGCTGGGCTCTGTCCCACCTCTGCCCAGCTTGCTCACTTTGGGCTCTTGGTCCTCCTACACCCCAGAAGATTAAAAGATATTTTCCATAGAAAGAAAACTGGCTAAGGGAAGAGGAGGAGGAAGTATTTGCATAAGTCACCTCTGTCCTCAATGGGCTACCACAGGGCAAAGTCTCTGGTGGCCAAGCTGGATGCTCAAGGAGTGGAGCAGAAACCATCCGTAGACATTAGTGACTGTGTGTGGCACCTTGAAGGACCCGGGATCAGGAATTTTGGAAGGCAAGGAGGCAGCAGGGACAGTAGAGAGGTGGAATGGTACAGGCTGCTCCAGTACCACCAAAGTGCCAAGAAGTCTTCTGTTCTCCTCAAAATTGGGGTCCCTTCCATAGCTGAGGCTTCACGTGCATAATCAGGTCCACCTCTGGTCACCTTGACCCTTTGGACTTGGTCTCTTGATCCAAACATTCATAGCAACTGAAAGATGGCTGCCCCTTCAAAGCTTTCAGAATCCCCACAAGTACATGCCCTGGTGATGACTCTCCCTCAGATAGCTCGTGTCACCTCAGGTGGGGACCTGGTCACCTTCCCAGAGAGCCACATGTAGCCCAGAGGCACAGCGGTCATGTCTACTCACCACAAGGCCAGTTATCTCCCAACCCCCGCACAGCTGTCCTGGGCGTATGTAGTGGATGTAGCTGGGGTCCAGGGAGATACCCTCAGCTCTGTTCTTCTTTGAAGAGCAGTTAACCACTAATATAGCATGCAAAGTGAAAGGGGAGACATCCCTGCCCCCGGCCCAGTCAACCTGCAGGTTAGGGTTTGGGCAGGTGAGTGAATGGCAGGTGACACTGAGAACAAAAAGAAGCTGACCGGACCGCATAAGGAGGAACATACTGGAGCAGGCAGGGTGAGGGCTTCACTGTTTAAACCATGTCCGTGAAATCCTTTTTCTTCCAGGGCCACCCCGGACCTAAAGGGGAGACGGTAAGACCCCTCACTTTCTTTCTTTCACAAGACAGGTGGGGGACCAGCCTGATCTCACCCCCACAAAGGGACAAAGCCTGCCCTATCACAGTCACCCCCACCAGCTAGGTATACCCCTAGATCTAAGCAGTGCCCTACATCCTCACGCCATGCAGGGAGACGCGGTAAGCCCTTTATCTCCTGCACTGGAAACATCCGGAGTGTCACCCTTGACCCGTGCTACATAACTTATCAGGTCAACTAGTAACTAGCTCACGCTGCGAGACTGCACAGGCTAGCTTTTTCCAACACGCTAACATCAGCACCCTCGGGATGCTGTGGAGGGTGTTCCCTAGGAAATGGTAGCTCTTTGCTTTCCCACGGTGGCTTTCCCTGAGCTGTCTCAGGACTCTCAAGTCCCACGTACATTTTGTAATAAGGCTTTTATCTCTATTCTGCATACATTTCTTTACTTCCTACTCTGTGGCTTGCTGTGTAGCTGGTGACTGGCTCCTGGAGTTCTCATTCTTTCTCTCCTAGATCTTTTCTTTCCAGATTTCTCCTCCTTTTTATTCTCTCTGCTTGCCAGCCCCGCCTATCTTTTCTCCTGTTTTGCTATTGGCTGTTCAGCTCTTTATTAGACCAATCAGGTGTTTTAAACAGGCAAAGTAACACAGCTTTACTGTTACACAAATGCAACATCAAAGAATACTATACATCTTTGCATCACTAAAACAAATGTTCTAGGGCTGGAGAGATGGCTCAGCGGTTAAGAGCTCTGCTCTTCCAGAGGTCCTGAGTTCAATTCCCAACAACTGCATGGTGGCTCACAACCACCTGTAATAAAATCTGGTGCCCTCTTCTGGCCTACAGTCAGGAATCTGTATAAATCAATCAATCAATCAATCAATCAATCAATAAATCTTTTAAAAAATGCTCCATCACATAAACAAATGTAACACATCTTAAAATACTATGTCACAACACCAGACTTTCAGGTTCAGTGGCCAGGAGAGTAGGAAGCAGGCTGTGCTGGAGTCTCCTGAGGCTCCCAGGTGTAGGACGTAGAGTCCTTCGGAGTAAAATACTCTGGCACCCAAGCCTCCCATGCAGAGGGCCCTTTGGGTGTCAGTGGCTGGAGGAATAAGTGAAGGGGACAGGGAACAACTGGCCACACCCACTGAGGCTTAGCATATAAGGCCATACAACCTTAGACAAGTTGAACGTATGCAGTCCTGCCCTGTAGGACTTTGGGACAGTCTGAGAAGTACCTAGGAGGCCAAAATCTGTCAACCCAACCAGACAGGTATCTCCAATCTACCCGCCCACTGACACATGTGTTTTCTTTCACAGGGCCTGGTGGGTCCCCGAGGACAACCGGTTGGTAGCTCTTCTTCCTTGTTCCCAGCAGGGAGGTTGGGGACCTTGTGGCCTGGGATTTGAGCCCTGACACTGTCATTTCCTTCTCTTTGTAGGGCCCTCAGGGACAAAAGGGAGAAAAGGTAAGTGCAGTTAAGTCTTCCTAGACGTTCACCCGGGCCAGAGCCTTCCATCAGGCAGAAAGGGGTTAGAGTGGCCACTTCAAGATCTGAGCTTTAAAAAACCTCTGGAGATACCTAGTATGTAAGAGAAAAACAATGACACCCCACACACACACTGTCAGTTTTTGGCTCTGAAGACCTGCGTGTAGTTTGTTCCTGTCCACCTGCCATCCCCCAGGTTCCTGCACTCTATGACATGGACTTAGGACCCTGCTGGCCTAACCTTCCTGGCCTCCTGCATTCTCTGTCTTGTTCACTTTCTGCCCAAATTGGTAGGTTTACCCTTGGACAGTGGTGCAGGAGCCTGGCATTCTTGGCTTAGGGGAGATGTTCCTGGAATCCAGCCAGCCACTGCCATTATAAAGTCTGTTGGTCCCATCAGGGCTGTTGGGTACTAACCACAGCATGGACTGACCACTTAGCTTTACATAATTCCTAACCCTACCATCATGGTGGGTGGCATGTAGTGGGGTCCTGTCACTGTACCCATGGAGCCTCCTTCAGGCAGGCCCTAGGAGGTTCCTTCTGTTGCCTACTAGAGGCAAAGGAGAGGGGACTACTTCATCTGCCTCAGAGGGCCCAAAGCAGAACACTGGTACTCGTGGATGAGGAGATACATGGTGTGTTACAGGGTACAGATTCCACTAATAAGGACCTAACACCTCTCTTTCTTCTCCTCCCTAGGGTCAGTGTGACGAGTACCCACACCGGGTAAGTGATGCTTCAAGCTAAGGGTGCCCTTTGACCCATCCTCAAGCCCAGTCACTACCCTGGGGTGGGGGGACCTGCAACCCTGTGTAGTATAAGGTGCAGTGTGCTCCGCCCTACAGCTAACGATGACTTGCTTTCAGCACTGTATCAGGGTGGTCACCGTGTCCGTTTGCATGGAGCCAGACTCCTATGACCTTGTTTGTCTGCTGAACAAGTATCTGAGAGTCTCTTGTGTGTGTCACTTTGCCCTCTGTTGGCCAAGAGGCGTGCATGGGTCTGGGTGTTGCCTCTCTGCCCTGTCGGGTGCGCACACACGTGTGTGTGTGTGTGTGTGTGTGTGTGTGTGTGTGTGTGTGTACACGCGCGTGAGCATGTCTGGCAGTCAGGGACAAATATGAGGGACTTTTGAGTTAGTCATGGTTTTAGATGACCCAGCTCTCCAGGAGGGGAGGCCATCTGGTCCCCGCATCCTTGGAGGCAGTGTGCATCTTGTCTGTTAGGAACACAGGAAACCCTTCTCAGCAGGAGTGTTAGGATGGGGTGGGATGTTTCTGAACAGAGATGGTCCCTCTTGACCCTGTCTTTTCCTGCCTTCCTCTAAGTTTATGGAACCTAATGTTCACTTGTGCCCTGATGACAGAGATCCTGCTGGAGACAAGGGAGGGTGGAGTCCCTCCCCAGTTCCTCCCTGAAGTCCCAGTGGGACATCCTGTAGACCAGCCCTGTCATGCTCAGTCCTGGGCAGAAAGTATGAAAATCATCTTAGATGACCTTCCATCTGTAGGGACCACAGTGTACCCAGAAACACACAATCTATTTCCCTTGGCTGCTACTACAGCCGGGGGGAGGGGAGGTAGAATTTAGTGGGTAGAGTGTATCATACCCCTTCACCCCACTCCTACCCCTTCACAAAATAGGCTCAGAATGTACAGGGTCTCTGGGAAGGTATGGTTAGCATGGCCAGCCTCTACCCAGCCTCTTAGGACAGAAAACCATGCTGGTCCCTGACATCTGGGTCCTTGGGCCGGAGAGAGGCTGTGCATGGTTTAGTGTGTAAGAGGCAGCAATAGGTTTGAGATCCAGGCTTATTCAGGGATGTGGGACCCTGCCGTTCCATCCAGCCTCATCCTGGCAACAATAGAAAGCCAGCTGTGTTTATTTGGAACGATGGACTTGCAAGATGGTTCTATTACCCAAAAAAGAAAGAGCATCCCCTGGCACAGAGACAGCACAGCTGCAAGACCTTCTGCAGTGTGTCATTGAGTCTGCAGGGATGCTTAGGTCAGGGAGGGCAGGATCTCTGCCCCGCAACCCTGTACAAGAACAGAGAAGGGAACAGTGGAAGGAAGTTCCAGAAGCATAGTCTAAGGACTTCAGGCAGGCAGGGACGGGAGGAGTCGTGAAGACTCAACCAGCAGGCCAGTTGATTTAAAAGTATGAGACTAGGAAGCCTTTAGTAGATTACTGGCTTTCTGAGGGGTGGGAAGAGGTGGGGATGCTGACAGGTCTCCAGGACAGCCAGGCTAGTCTAGAAGGAAAGGAAAGAGCTAGGTAATGAGCGGGAAGTCCTTTAGTATCCTAGTTATTGCTAGGAGGTCTGTGGGCTCTCTTCTGCTCCATGTGACCCCATCTCTGCTACCTTTGCCTCCCGAACCAGGAGCACCCAAGCGGCATCCTAGCAGGTCTGCGCTCCAACCCAATAATTGCCCTAAAGGTTTGTCGGTTCTAGATGGGCTCCAGCCCCTCTTGGCTGAGATGCTTCCTGGACACAGAGCACAACATCGCACATCCCTGGGCCCAGCGTGGGAGGATGGTGTTCTGCATGGCTTAGTGTGTGGCAGTCGCCCCTGTGTGCAACAGGAATAGCCTAGAAGGGCCACCCCAGATGGGCTCCTAATTCCCTAACTGAGTTTTCAGCCCGGCTGGATTGTGGATGTTCTTCACATCCAGCCCAGGGTCCTCTGGAGAGTTGAGCAGACTTAAACGCATGGGGTTGACCTGCCCACCCCCAAGGTCTTTGTCTTCATATGGGTTCTCACCTTCTGGTCATCTCCGCTGGTTCAGCCTAGCCAAGAAGGGAGACAAAAAGCAAAAATGACCCAAAATGAAAATTATGCTAGATAATGTGATCAGAAGCTGCCCGTCCCCCTAGAAGTGGTTGACCATTCCTAAGACATCTTTTCTGAGCATGCCAACCACAGAATGAGGCCTCAACAGTACTTAGTGAATGCCTCACAAGCCACACCCGCAGCCAACTCAACCCGGAGGCCAGGCTTAACTTCCCTTGACCGTGGTCCTCAGATTTGCTGACATCAACCATTCTGGTCCTACCAAAAAGGAACCCACAGGGACCACACGCCAGCCTGACTCCATGCACCAATTTAGCTCGTTCTGTGGCTCCCGACCCTCAGCCCAGCAGCCGCCGTCCACCCGGCAGGCCTGGGTGGGGCAGTGCAATGCTGGGTGATGTGTTATGTGGCCCGAGTGGCCTGGTGTGACATCAGAGGTGGGTGGGCCTGGCCAGGAGAGCCCCTCTTCCGGAACTCAAGGAGGCTACTAACTAGTAGCCAGAGCTGAGGCAGGGTACTTATGAGGCCACACCTTCAAAAGGACAGCTGAGGCTGCCAAAAGCAAGATCAGCATTGTGTCTGTCTCTAGATCTGAGCCTCGGGGGTGCCTACTGCACCCCCTCCCCCAAGTCTATCCTGCTGCTGTGTTCACACTGATCTTTCTCCTCTTCTCTCCACCTGGCCTTCTGGGGACTTCCTGCATCACTCTGAATACCTGCGACCTCTGGCCTCTGCCCTCTGGCCTTCCAACTCCTGTCTCTCCTCAGCTGTTGCCTCTCCTCAATTCCGTGCGGCTGGCTCCACCCCCTGTCATTAAAAGGCGGACCTTTCAGGTAGACACCTCATGGGGCTTTCCCAGGGGCTTCGCACATCTTGGGGTCATGGCAGGGCTGCTGGGGTTACCCGCTATGCCAGAACCTGTTTCTAACAGTTACTGCAAATTGGACAATCATTGGCCCAGTGTTGCCATAAAAACAAGAAAGACACAGTATATACAGGTCCTACCACAGCATGACACCTGACAGCCACCACCAACAGGCATCCCGACATCCATTTTCCAGGCCCAACGTTGTCTTTCAATGGTTCACCACTGTCTTTATTGCGCAGATGCAGAGATAAAGGCTCAGATATGTTCAGTAAGCTGCTTGATGTCACAGAGCGAGGATTTATGCCCAGCTTCTCTGCCTGTTCCCACTGTGCCTCAGCTCCCTCCACAGTAAAGTAGGAACAGGCACAGGGACTGTGATAGGGTAGGGAAACTGAGGCTCAGGGAGTGAAAAGACCCGGTCAGAGTGACAGGAATAGCAAGAGGGTGAAGTGGACGTGAGAGCCAGATGTCTGAGGCCTGAACCCACACTCTCCCTGCTCGGGCTGAGTTTTACCACTCAGAGCCTGGGCATGAGGAGCGAGGGTGTTTGTAGAGCGGCATGACCCACAACCAGCAGGCAAACAGCTACCTTCCTGCCTTCTGGCTTGTTGTCTCCAAGGAGGCTTGGCCAGGAGCAGGTTCCCAGGGAAAAAGCATCACTGATTTTTTTTTTTGAGGTCCCATGATGTCTGAGGTCACATGAGGCCAGGGGCTGCCTGTCTTACCCTTCATCTGCCTTCTGTGGCCCAGGTGTCCCCAGGGCCCTGGGAGCAGGGAGTGGCAGGCCCTTGAGCTACTTGCCTGGTGAGTCCACAGCCCAGGAACGTGGATACTCGTGTCCCAGACTGAATAAGGCTGAAAACTCACTCCAATGATCAGCTAAAAATACAGAGTCACATGATACAGGCGCAGCCTATTAAGCATTCAGCCCATTCTTGTAGACCGCGGCTCGCATTACCCCACCAAATCCTCGAGAGCCTCCAGGGCTCCAAGGGTTGCTCAGGAGGCCGCTGGCAGCTCAAAGCAGCGCCAGGCCCATTCATGGGCGCTCATCCTGCTGCAGACAGGCCCCATTAGAGGGAAGGTGAGGTAGTGCCCCTGAGCACGCCACACACACACACACACATACACAGTGACTTCCAGAGTTGCTTGCTTAGGGCACCCTTTGATGGACATTTACAGTACTTTAGGTCCTACTGTGAGGGCTGTAAAGGGTGGCTCAGTCAGTAAATGCCTGTTGGGCAAGTGGGAAGACATGAGTTCGGACCTCCAGGCACATACTTGTAATCCCAGCCCTGGGATGGGAAAGACAGGAGACTCCCCCGGGGCTCTCTTAGCCTAGCCGGTGATCTCCAGGTCCCAGTGAGAGACCCTGTCTCAAAAGAAATGAGCACAGCCTCTGGGGAATGATGCCAAGACTACTCACACACGTGTGTGTCCTCCACACATGTGTGCATACACATACATACCAGAACCATGCATGATTATCTTATGGTAGCTGCATCCCAGCTCCCTGTGGCACATAGTCTTCATTTCTCGTTGGTAGGAGACCGTAGAGCAGTGGTTCTCAACCTTCCTAATGTCGTGAGCCTTTAATACGGTCCCTCATGTTCTGGTGACCCCTGACCATAAAACTTATTTTGCTGCTGCTTCATAACTATGGTTTTGCTACTGTTATGAATCATGATGTAAATATCTGATATGCAGGACAGAGTTTGACTCCCAAAGGGGTCATAACTTATAGGTGGAGAACCACTTTCCTGGAGGAGTAGATCCAGCTGCCACCTGTTGCTGTGTCCATGTCCAAGACACAGAGGTGGCCCGGCAAGACTTTCCCGTATTGCCTTGACCCTGGTTTCCAGAGCAGAACCAGAAGGAGTTGCCCTCATGACCTCTGCAGCTTCTCTGGGGAGTTAGGGTTTTATACTGTCAGCCACCATGGGACATGAGAAGGCCTACCAGTTTCCTATCGATAAATATGTATTGATTATGCATGTTACACAAGGTGGTCGCGAGTTAGCGGAAAGGGTAAGCTTACATAAGAACCGATCCTGACTGATGGATTTAGCAGATGGTGCTGGAATCCACTTCCAAAGAGCAAGGACTTGGCTGATGAGCCCAGCTCAACTGTACAGTGAGCCAGATGAAACCCCATGGCCTCTGACCTAGGATCTCATTTGATCCTCTAGAACAGATAATCAAAACCATTGTATGCTAAGATGGAGACCAAGGACCCCCATGCTCCTATCCTGTCTCTGGGAGGCCAAGGCTAATGATAAACTCCATACATTAAGAGAGCGGTAGAGGCAGGCTGCAGACCACCTGGACTGAGCCCAGGCACTGGGCCAGGCCAGGAGCAGGGCCTGGATTCAGGCCAGCGATCATCTCTCATTCTCTATTTCTGCCACTACTGCCAAGTCCTCTGCCCTGAAGACCTGTAGAAGCCCCCACAGCTCAGCAACCCGATGTCTTGGACCACTCCTTGCTGCCGTTAGCCCCTGCATGCATTCACCATCACTGCCACCGTTACCCTCACCATCCACCCACTGCTCCCCACTGCGTTCCTAGCAGGGTCCACAGAGGCCTCGGCAGATGCATGGCACATGGTGGGGGCGGGGCCTGATCGCTGCTCTGAGACCTTCTCTCTAATGCATGATTTCTCTGACTTCAGGGGGAACAAGGCCAGGCTGGCCTCCAAGGCCCTCCAGGGCCACCAGGCCCCCCAGGACCAAGTGGCCCTCTGGGACACCCAGGATTGCCGGGGCCTATAGGGCCACCTGTAAGTATCCCTCTTTTCTGCTCCCTAGAAGTCTCCAGAAGGCTCTGAACCTTGAAGAGTGACCAAAATGACAGAAACATTTTGTCAAGGACCTGAACATGGGTGGCCTCTGCGAGTAACCATCCATGTCTGGGACTCTGCTTGCCTGTTTGCCCTCCCAGCTCTACCAACACAGCTGCAGGTCCCTGTCAGTCGTGGTCTCCATGGGTCACTCTAATAAGTACTACATCACGTCACTGCAGAGTAACTGGAAGAAGTCTGAAGGGCCTTTTCCATCTGTCCCCAGCCCCGGTTTAAGAAAGCCAGAGTCAGGGCAGTGGATTCTGGACAGGTACTGGGGGTGGCCTCTGATGTCTATGTCTTTCAAGGAAAATGCAGGATCCATGCTGCTGGACCGCCTTCCATGCGAGCTTCCCAGTCAGTGGGGCCCTGTATCCATGGGCCTGAGGGTTGGTACTGTAGCAGCTGGGGAAGGGTGCCATGGACATCCCCGTCAAGTGACAGATCCACCTCCAGCTCACTCATTTTCAAACCCTGGCCAAGACTGTGTCCTCCACAGCCACAGTATAGCAGACATACATGCGTAGAATGCCGATAAAGTTTTCCAAGTAGCTTGAAGGAGGTGGCACCAAAGTCATTCAAGCTCGTGCCCAGGCCCTTCAGCAGCTCTGACATTTAGCCATCTTGAGACTTCGTGGACGGTCCCTGTGACCTAGACAACAGCTCTGGCCACTGTAATCTCCCACTGGGCTAGGAGGACTGTGCTGTAGTGACAGCCTGTGCTTAGCTTGGTCCCCAAAAAGCATACTTACACAGTTTTACCCCAGGACTTTAGCGGGGGTGGGGGTTAGTCACACCTCCATCCGTCTGTCAAGGAGGAAAACAGAAAAATCGAAAGAAAATGAATGCAGAAAATTGAGCCAGACTAACCCTCCAAAGTACCCCAAATTCGCTGCTTTGGCAACTACCACCCTCCAACCCAGTCCTGGGCTCTTGCTCTTTACATGACGATAGGGTGTATTGTTTGCTTTTTCTTAGATCGTTTATAGAGGAATAAACCCTGAGTGTCTTTTACACCAGTTGAAACAGACTAGACTTCATGGTTTTCTCTGGCTCACGTTTACTGCCCAGACCTCCATCCAAGACCACAGTACCCAGTTACCCCTGGTCTCTCGCTCGGTACCCACAGACCCCTGTACCCACACCAACTCACCATGGCCAGCTGCTGTGGCAGACGGGGTCCAACAGGCTCTTCTTCAGGGGTTCAGGGCCAAGAGCAAGATCAGGGCTTTGTTGGGCAAGGTCAGCTTTCCAGCAAGGGGCCTAAATTAGGAGGTACGTGACTGAAGGATCTTTACTAAGCCACACTGCCAATTTAGCCCCAGGCCACTGACCTACTTTCCAGTGGGCGAGCTCAGCACAGTTGCCCACAGTGCCCACATGGCTCCAGTCAGAGATGCTAGCCTGTTGTCCCCATGTGCCCTCCCTAGGTGTCAGTTACTCTCCAGGACATCCTGGACTATCTGGGGCTCTCTGCTCCGGCCTGGAGCTATCTGGGGCTCTCTGCTCCGGCCTGAAGCTATCTGGGGCTCTCTGCTCCATCCCCCACTGTGAACACAATTAACTTTATTCACCTTCTCCTTATTTCTACAGGGTTTACCTGGGCCTCCTGGAGCAAAGGTGAGTGGTCCCCTAAGTGATAATGGGTGCTCTAGGGAAGGCATTCACTGTAAGGGGTGCCAGTTGAGAGGGACTGGAGCTGAGTGATGGATTAAACATGGTCCATTTCTGAAACATCTCCTCCTCTTCTTGGACTGTTTTGATCCTAATATGTAACACCTTTCTTGGGTGCTCAGGCTGGCTAAGCCAGCACTATGGTTGGCATAGAAGGTACACTCTAGGGTTGGAAGTGTAGTTTAGTGGTTGAGGGTTTGCCTAGAATGCATGAAGTCCCGGGTTTGACTCCTCAGTGCTTCATAAACAAAGTGTGATGCCTATGTCCACAGCCAGAAAGCAGAGGCAGGGAGGACCAGAAGGTTATATGTGGCTACATAGCAAGTTAGAGCCAGCCTGGGCTACAGGGGACCATGTCTTTAAAAAATAAATAAATAAATAAATAAATAAATAAAAATTTAAAAAGGTTGTTTTTGTTTTTTAAAGAAAAAAAAAAGAAGAAAGTACTGCCTGGGGTTTTGTGTTCTAGTTGAAAACACAAGGCGGACAGATGTCATGGCATGGTCATAGTGTCCCCAAAACTGTCCAATATGGAAAAACCTCCAAAGTGAACTGATCCCCTTGTGAGATGTTGCCCGGCAGCCCTCGATGGCAAAGGCAATTGCACTTTGAAGTCAGAAATTCTGGGGACCAGAGGGCATAAAGCAACGAGGGTGGCCACACTTTGCAAACATGGATGCAGGGAGCTGGGGGAGAGGGGGATGGGAAGGAGATTCATTGGGAGAACCAAAGCGGGAGGTCCCAGGTCTCCCAACAGCTGACCCCTTGCAGTGCCTTTCAGGCATCAAAACCGTATCTGGGGACCTTGGGGTACCTCCCGGGGGGGTCATGGGGAGGCAGAAGGTGGCCTTGTGTAGCAGAGATCACCAGCTGGTCTGGTATGGAAAACCATTTGGCTTTTTTTTCTTCCCCAGGGAGACCCAGGGATCCAGGGCTACCATGGCCGCAAGGTAAGCAAGAAGGGGAGGGAGGACACTACCTCTTCTGTGAGGAACCCAAGAGGGGCCTTGTTACAGGGATGCACACAGCCAGGGCTAGGTGGGTAAGAGCATATGCTTACACCTGTGCCAGCCATATGTGCCTCCTTGTTTATAAGATTGTCTGAATGCTCAGAACCGATGGGACAGGGTCTTGGCAGGCTGGTGGTCCAACCCAGCCTCAAGTAAGGGAGTGTCTCTTTTATTGGCCTGGCTGGCTATGTCTGGTATCTGGACTGGGTGATCCAGAATACTAGGCTCCTCTAACACAAGCTCCATGCTGAGCCTAGAAGGGGGTGTAAACAGACCCAGCCCTACTTGAGACCAATTCTCAGGTCAGACAGACAAGCATTCCCACCCAGACTGCCCTACCAGAAGCTAACGGTTAAGTGCCACTACTACAAAGCCCTCTGAAAGCAGGGTGGAAAGATAGAGCCCAAGTGGGAAGAGTTAAAGCAATCAAGCGCTCAACCATATGAATGGATGTATCAACTACCTAGTACTGAGTAACAACTTATCCCAAACTGACTAGCTTAAAATCAGGATTATTTCTTATGTTTCTATGGATTGGTGACCTGAGGTTCTACAGTTCCACCTGGGTTCACAGGAGTAGAAACTTAGCATATGATAGCTGGGAGGGGAAAGATAGCCTTATTCAGGCCTGTGGGTGGTCCTGGCTGGTGGCTTCTGCTCTCCAGGTGCCTTTTATCTTTCAGCAAGCTGGGTAGGCTTCCCCACAGCAAGGTAGGCTCAGAGCAGCCTCCAAGGTGGGAAGGTTCAATGCATGAGCACCCTCTCAGCATCATCTCATACCACATTTCCTAAGGACCTTCTGCTCAAATGGGTCACACAGCTAAGCTACCTGCAGCAGCAGAGGAAGAGACCTACTTCTGACGGAATGATTGAAGGGGCAGAAAAAGCTCCGTGGCTGTTTCAAGCTGACCTCTGCGATCCCTTAGCAGATCTGAAAGGAAATAGTATTTTAGTGAAGGAAACCATTTGAGCCAGGGCCCGGAAGCAGTTACTACAATAACTGTAAGAGTATAATACTTTCGATGACAGCCAGGACTTACTGAATGCCAGCAGTAGGCCAAGCATTGTCCTGCAACACAGCCTGCACTCTTCCCAATCCTATACCCCTGGAGAACTGCTGTAGTTGCATGTTGCATGGGGAAACTGAGGCTCACCCGAGTCTCAGCTAGGAGAAGTCAAAGAATTCAAATCAGGTCTGGGTCCTTCCTATGGTACCAGATGCAACAAGGATTCCCAGCCATTGGCTGGGAAGCTCCAGAACCCTCCAGAACCTTCCAGAAGTGGGAAAATGCAGCAGGAAGGAAGGGTATGAGTGGGGGAAGGAATCTTGGAAAGAGAGGCTCACTCAGCTAGGAGTACACGCCCCACTCCGGTTCTGGTGGCTGCCATTTGCTGTGGTGTTTTATGGGTGCCTGGTGGGGGAAGCGGTGAGACACCAGAGATCTTTAATTAGTTCTGCATAAACTGAGAGGCTTGCATTGTGTCAGGAAGTGGAAATTACAACCCCCACGGCTGCCTCCATCCACTCACTCAGACTCACAAAATTTACTGCCTCCTGGCGCAACACGGCTCGGTTTTCCCATTAGCAGTCAGGTCAGATCTTTCAAGCTGTGAAGGGGTGGAGGCCTGTCAGAGGGGCCCCCGGGGTCACGGTGATGCCCTTGTCTGGGACTGTTGTGACCAGCAGTGTCTACCTCCACCGCAAACACAGAGTGTGGGAAGCAGTTGTCATGAGGCTGGAGAGAGCCCAGCTGTGGGCTAGGGTGTCCCGATACTGGGGGACCCGGAGCCATGTCCACTCTCCATGGGGGCAGATGATAGCAGGGGTCAGTCAATCCAGGCATCCCTGCATTTGCAGAGGAATGGCGCAGTTTCGCTGAGGGAGGGGCAGCTCCTGGGGAAGAGGAAGCTGGTTCGGGCAGAGAACTCTAGTCTGACGAACCGGGACTGTGCTGCTTTCCGGGGATTAGACGTGAACGAGTACTATGGTGACCCTCCAGAAACAAACAAACAAACAAACCAGTTCTAACTGAGACACTTCCTCATGCCAGGTGCCAGGGAGCTAGAGGCCTGGAATCACTGGCCTGATTGGTAACATGTGCGTCTGCAGCGGTTGAGGTTACAGTCCCTTCTTGCTCAGGGAAGCCATGGCTTCCTGGAGGCCTTACAGAGCTTTGTGAGTTCTAGCTTCTTGGCACCTTGTTCCCCAGTTGTGTGTAGGGCAGTCAGAGAGCCCCCTCAGCCCAGCCTCTCATTCTGAGTTCCTTACGGCATCTCTCTTTGCCAGACCACGCCTCTCTGCTCCTCCGTAGAAGTCTCTTTTCACAATTTCTATCACTCAAGGCTGTAACTACCCCCTCTATCTCTCTGGACCTTCACCGCCCCTGGCTACCTCCCAGGTAACCTCAGCACCCCACACCTATGCCATTCTCCCTCTTCTGGTGCCCTGGAATCACCAATTCCTCCGTGTGTCCTGGTCCACTAGCGAGGAGACAGACACACTGGGACCGTGGCATCCTGACCCCAGCAATCCTCGTGCCCAAAATGACACTCCCAGTCCTGACACAGAGTGATTGTCATTCATGCTAAGTCAAGTGCAGCCATCCTCTGTGTCTTAGTTCAGCCAAAGTGCAATGGCATCTGTCTAACTCCAACCTCACCAGAGCCAGGGCTGAAAGACCATCCCCTCCCCCCCAGGTGTTAAGACTTTGCCTAAAGTTTCACAGTTGGTGAACATGCTGGAATCAGAAGCGAGGACTCTCCAGCCTGTCTGAAAGCACCTGTGGATTCTCTAGGAGAGGAAGGCTGAATGGCACCCCCACCCACCCATCTGTCTTCTCTTTCTTTCCTCCCACTCTGTGCTTCGCTAAGGTTCAAGAAGGAGAAATTAATTTGGGAGAGGAGTGAACATGCATGTCAGAAAGATGTTCCCCCCCTCCCTCCAAGGGAGGCGTGGCCACCAGTTATGGTGACACAGAGCTGAGAAAGATACACACCCGCCCCATCGAGGTCGAGGTCTCCATGGGAGAGGGGGAGTCCTTGGTGTAGCAGACGGACCTGCCTCATGAGCTCCACTTGCTCTGTCTCCCAGGCTTGGCACACAAGGTGGAGTTTAATTTCTCAGCCTGTGAAGTATGAGGATAAAACACTCACTCCATCGCTCCACCGGCTGGACCAGGTCCGTGTCCTCTCAGCCAGGACAGCAAGGATGACTCCACTACTAGCTCTTTGAGATCAAAACCCAGGGTGACTGGCACCCTTGTGCAGCCCAGTACCTTCCCAGGGACCAACCCTCCTGCCTAGACATTGCGTATATCGTTGTGTACCCATGCGGTACCTGTTTGGCCCAAGTTGATGGCGAGCATCCATCTTAACTCTGCTGCACGATACAGTTTCGAACATCACACATCACAACCTCAGCTCTCGTTCAGACTAGTGTGGGGCTCAGACCTATAAACCTGATGGGAGCTCATCCCTAAGTGCACCCGAGTTAATACTGTGTCGGGTGCACCGCAGATCATCCGCATGGGTCTTTGTAGAGGACCATAGCTGGACACACATTCTGAAGGAGATAGTTAGTTCTGTGGGGTGATGACCAGCGTTGTGAATACCATACCAGGCAGGGTGCCAGGCACTCCACAGGCATCATCTTATTGCCCCGCCCCCTCACTGAGCTAACCCTAAACTCATTAGGTAGCTGAGGATGACTTCGAACACCTGATCCTTCTGACTTCCCGAGCGCTGGGGTTTTATAGCTGTGCTGCCCCACGCCTGGCTTATGGGGTGCCGGAGATTGAGCCTAGGGTTTTGTGCATACTAGGCAAGCATTCTACCAACTGAGCCTCATTCCCAGCCCCCCCCCATGCACCATTGTACTGTCTCTGTTAAATCCACCTCCAAAAGTCGGATTTTTTGATAATCTCTAGTACAGCGTGGATCACAGTGTGTGCCTCCCTCTAGCTGTCTAAATCCAAAGCCTTACTACTCTCAATGACTTTGCTATCCGCGTGTTAGGGTCTCCAAGGGAAACTAGTGTTCTGAAAGGCTCTCTCCCTCATCTTCCCAGGGAGGACATGAGGTGGCAGCTGAGATGTCCTCTTTGTGGAGACCAAGAGCACAGCTGGGTTCAGATCTTGCAGGACAGAAGGTTTGGGCACATGGGTACCTCATTTAGATGAATTGAGAGCGCGCTTTGCCCAGTGGTGTGACCCTAGATAGCTGAGCTGATACTTGCTTCTAAACCAGCTCTTACCAAATCTCCACTACTCCTGAGTGATCCCTGTGGTCCTCTGGCTCACAGAGGGTCCAAGTAACCCAAGCTCCCTGTGGCATTTCCAGGCAGCAGAGGGAATATAGCATTTTCTGTCAATGCTGGGAAGTCCCAGTGAGGACATCCAGACTCTTGAAATGGATGCAGATAAGAACAGGGAGACAAGGGCCTCAAGGGGACGGGACAGCCCCAGCCCCCACTCCATGACCTCTGGGCTCTGTTCTGCCCTCCAAAGTCCACAGATTAATTAGAACTGACTTTGGAACTGACTACACAACCAACCGATCTCAAATTGCGATTACAAGCCAGCCATCCTTCCAAAGCCCCAAGCCTTCAATGGGGGCACCCGACCCAGGAATTCCCTGGATCACTCCCTGCCAGCCCTAATTACCGGAGGACTTGGGATTTCCCTGGTTTCTTGGGTCCTTGCTTCTGGGCAGGGAAGCTGGGGAAGTGGGAACTCAGTCACCTTTTTCTCGCAAGAGTGTTGGGTCTCCTACCCTCATTTCTCCAGCTTTTCCAACTCAGGGGCTCCCCAGCTTTCCCAGCCCACTCACCAGACAATCTCCCATCCCCAGCAGAGAACAAAGATGCTATGTCACTGGCCCTTTGCAAGAGATCCCTGGCCCCGAGTTAGGGAAATCCATTCATCTCCCTTGCCTGCCGGCCCTTTGCTTGGCTGCGGAGCTGACATTGAAGCCCCACCCCTATTCCCTCCAGACAGACTTCTTGCCAAGTCCCTGTGCAGCTTGTTCAACAAACAGTAAATCACCAATTAGGAGGCCACACCCGCTGGTCAAGCTTGTGCCATCCTGTCATCTCTGGACAGGATGGGTCCTCCCACCTAGAAACTTCAAAGGACACAGAACCTGTTGATACTGGATGTGAGGACACATGAGGGGGCTCCTAGGAGCTGGGACAGGCCTTCAAAATGACTTAGTGCGGCCCTAACCATGTGTCTCTTGAACCACAATGACTACAGTTTCCCCCCTCCCCACCTGCAGCTTCCACCCATTGGTTTTTTGGCACTCTGTTAAAGAGCCACCATCCTCCAAGGGTGATTGGCTGTCTGGGAGTCACAGTCATCGCATGCTGGGCAGTGGAGCCAAGACCCTTTGGGGCACTTGGAGCACCCACTTGCCCAGCTACAGGATGGTCCAGATAGGTTGTGGAGAGCCCCACCACCACCACCACCAGGGAGTCTCTGGGATCCCTACTAGAAAGGCAGAGGCAGAGAGCAATCAAAACCATAGGCTTGGACAGCTGTGAGATCCAAGCCACAAGCCAAGCACGGCACTGAGCCAGCGGAGCAAAGCCGAGCACAGTTCCACCTGCGCCTTTGGAACTGAAAAAAAACTCAAGAGGGCAATAGAAAAGGAGGCCCTAAATCTCACAAAGGCATGCCATGGCTTCAAAGTGTGTCGCTGTCCTTCAGCCATGGCCACACCAGCCCCCGCTTCTCCCTCCGAAGCAGCATCTTGGATCCTGAAGGGTGCCTCGCCCCCAGCCAGGAAGCAATGCTCTCTGGCCTATCCAGAGGTCAGACAGGGCAAGCCCCTAGGCTGGAGCTGAGCAGTGAGGCTAATGAATGAAGAGAGCCCTGGTGTGGGGTCAGCCAGGCGCCCCTGCTTCCTGCCCAGCAAAAGGGCAGGAGGGAGGGAAGTCCTGAGGCCCTGAGACCAAGATCAACCAAGGGGGGCTGGGAGTGAGGAAGAGGGAGCTCAGCCACCCTAAAGAGGACCGCTCCTGAGAAGGAAGTAAGGATGGCTGGTTCTTTTGTGTGCACAGGCTTGCTTTCACAAAGTCAAGCCAGCTGAGCTAAGGATGATTTGGGTTAGCCCATGTGCATGGCTTCTCAGCTGCCCTCCAGCTGCAGGCTATTTTGCCCCAGTAGATGCATCCTTGGCCATCTTGGAGGCACAGGAGGGACCCCATCAAGACCCCCTTCTAGACTTGTACTTTTATCCAAAGCTAAGACTCCTTTTTCTGGAACCGTGGACCAGACCTCTCCTCCCCAGCTCTAACTGATCTCCCTCCCCAGAGCCATGCAAGCAGCCAGGGTGGGGCTGGGAGCGGAGCGGGCGAAATATATCCAGATTGATCTCACTGTGCAAAAAAAGAAGCATGGACTCAGAGAGAAAAACAGTCACACCGACACCTAGACCAGCGTCACACACGGGAGGTGGGAAGGATCTCAGAGACCTTGCAGAAAGCTCAGGAATAAAACAAACGGGAGATCCTGAGCAACCAGGCCTCCCCAAGGTGACAGCCCTCCAGCACAAAGGGACTCTATCTAGGGTAGTGGTTTTCAACCTTCCTAATGCTACGACCCTCTAATACAGTTCCTCATGTTGTGGTGACCCCCAGCCATAAAGTTACTTTGTTGCTACTTTGTAACTGTAACTTTGCTACTGTTATGAATCGTAATGTAAAGATCTGATATGCAACCCCCAAGGTGTGTTGCGACCCACAGGTTGAGAACCACAGGACTAGGGAGGGCCTCCTCCTGGCTAAATCAGAGGGGTGGAGTCCATTGGAATCTTATCAGGGTTACCTGGTCCTCTAGAGATGAGTGCCACCAAGGACCCTGAGAAGTCTTTAAGACCACTGTGGCCAAGATGGCAAAGTTCAAAGAAGGTCCTCCTGCACCCTCTGCTGGCCACAGAGCAGACTTGCCCGTGTGGACCCCTTTGGCACCCTGAGCAGGTCAGGGTGGAAGAGGATTTATTTGGTGTTTGGACATAAAGATTGGGGGCTTCTGTAGAACTCAGGTACTTGGCTGGAAAAGGATGAATGCATTGCAGTGTCTGTCCCAGGCGGGCAGGAATGTGTGTACAGATGTCTAGTGCACAGCAAGCTGGGCGTGGTGACACTAGTCTGAATCATCAGGAGGCTGAGGCAGGAGGCTCCCAATCCTGCCTGGGTGACAGAGTGAACTCAAGGTCAGCCTGCACAGCTTAGTGAGACTGTGTCTCAAAATTAAAGATAAAGACATCTCGTGAGGGTAGAGTTTAACAGTAAAACGATTGCCTAGCGTACATGAAGCTCCAGGTTCAGTCCGGTGTTAGGGGTAGGGGATACAATGTGAGGACCCAGAACTAGGACATGGGGACAGTAAAGGGTCTCAGAGTCCTAAATATGACTTTGAACCGAGGAAGTAGCAGAGAGTCGTGAGGCCATGGGCACCTTTAGGATCGCAGTGGTTTATCTTCACCAGGAAACAAGGATGGACACAGACTGGGCTCAGGAGCCCAAGAGCCCCCGTGTCTTTTATCTGTGGGCAGTGGAGACCGGGACGTTGGAAGCCTCATTATCTAACTCATGTGCTGGGAGACTTGGAGACACCAGTAGGGAGGGCCTGGCGTGGAGGAAGAGTGGGAGTCGCTCTCGCCTCTGTTGGAGAAGGGAAGGCAGGGCGGTCCTGTGAGAGTCTGAGCAGATAAAGCAGCACAGGTCAGGCGGGAGCCCCAGTGGGGGTCCGTGTCTGGGCTCTGGCCTTCTCTTCCCCAGCATCACCTTCAGCACCACTGAGGCAGGCAACAGCAGGTTGGCAGAGCCCTGCTGCATCTTCATACTGAGGTGCCCTGTGGGGTGCAGAGCGTGAGAAAAGAGCTATCTCCTAGACAGTTGGGTTGAAGTCTTGACTCCCCTTTTTTTTAGCCCCCCTTTATCACTGGCTGTCATCTCCTGACCCGTTTCATGATGGTGTGAGTGCCTTCCTGGCGCCCCCAGCTCCTGTAGAGCTGATGGTTGCGGGAGAAAGGAAAGTAAAGAGGGTCGGAGCTGAGACGGTACAGCTCTGCCCATGAACCCCAGAAAAGCCACAGCATGCGTGTGGCCAGGCAATATCAGAAAGGGGCTTGGAAAAATGAACGATAGCTCACAAGCCCCACGAGCTTGGGAAGAGGAGGCCCTGGGTAAAAGCAGAGAGAAGCACATGTCTGACCCAGCATGGGCACCATGTAGGCAAACCTGCTGGGGATGGAAAGGTCTGTGGAAGGTAAGTAGCCACATGGCTGCTCTTGCCAGAGGCTGACTCCAAGCCCAGCATCGTTGAGGCAGAAGCATCCTCAGCTGCAGATCTAGTTCAAGGGCATCTCCATGACTAGGTTTAGTGTGTGTGTGTGTGTGTGTTCTTGTTCATTTCAACCCCCCATCCTCCTCTTCGTCTCTCTCTTTCTCCTCTACACTTATGACTCGAGTCTTCCTGCAAGATGGTGTCACGGAACTGGGGGAAGTGGTCCATTTGGTTGCGGCCATGGCAGGGTCCCCTGAACTCGTGGGGGTTGGATGCTCAAGCTTATGGGCCATAATGCTGAGTCTGATCCTTTTCTGGTTTCTCTTTCCAGGGAGAACGGGGCATGCCAGGAATGCCCGGCAAGCATGGAGCCAAGGTACCCATCCCTTCCTATGCATATTCCCTCCAAAACTCTGGGAATCTTAGTTCCTTCTTGGATCCCTTCCTTCTCACAAACTGTTTGGAAAACAGGGTCCGCACTCCCTCAACCACCCCCCTTCCTATATCTTTCTTTCCTAACATGAGTGAGGCTAGTGTGATGTGGCTCTGGTTGCCTCAGCTATCAGTTCTTGTATGGTCCTCAGATCCAAAGAAAACAAGAACCCCAACATCCTCCTCTTGGGCATGATGATGATGATGTATACAGTATTCTATCTGCACATCAGAAGAGGGCACCAGATCTCATTACAGATGGTTGTGAGCCACCATATGTTTGCTGGGAATTGAACTTAGGACCACTGGAAGAGCAGTCAGTGCACTAAACCTCTGAGCCATCTCTTCAACTCTCTTGGGCTTTTCTAAGTGGAACTTTAAACAACATTGTCACCTCCAAGTGTGTGGCCTTGGGGAAATAGGAAAATGAATTTTGTGAACCAGGTGTGGTGGTACACACACGTGATCCAGCACTTCGGAGGTGGAGCTAGGAGAATTAGGAGTTCAGGACCAGCCTGGGATGAATATCCAGTTCAGGGCCATCCTGTGCTACATGTCTCAAAAAGAGCTTACTGTCCAACTGCACATAAATAGAGTGGTGCATGCCTATATGGCACTGGGAAGAGGGACTGGGGGTCCTGTGAGCTTGCCGATCAGCCCGTCTAGACGACCAGTGAGTGCCAGGTTCAGTGAGAGAGCCTGCCTCAAAAAATAAGGCAGAGAGCAATAGAGGAATAGCCTGGCATTGACCTCTGGCCTCCACATGTGTTTACATATTTGCAGGTATATCCCTGCAAACACATGTGCATACACACGTACACAACACACAGAGGAAGGAATGGGGCTTGCTCCCAGTTCTTGAGGGCCAAGGTCTAGAAAGCTGTGAGTGAAATAGCCCCACTTATACAGAAGGGTGCACTCTGCTTTGGCGAAACCAGTGCCTTCCTATGGTGTTGCCTGGTAGTCTCCACCCTTTGGCCACAGGGACCTAGCCCAAGCTTCCCTGTCCCCACTGTACATCCCAGTGAAGTCCCGGTAGTTCGGCAAATGGACAGCCCATATTCCATCCTCAAGTGCGCTCTTGGGGTGCCAAACTCAGTATGTCACATTCTCCCACACTCGGGCATTGCTGGTTGTCAGTCAGCAGAAACGCACAGGCTGGAAGGCCAGGCAGAGCTGTTTAGCTCGCTGCCTCTGAACTCAGAGACCCTCATGCCTATTTTTTTTTTTCTCTACCAGGGGGCTCCTGGGATCGCCGTGGCTGGGATGAAGGTTGGTAGACACTGTCGCTCTATGTATTAGGGGCAGAGTATGATGAGACCACAGAGCTGGGGTGCAGGGGTTTAGCAGCATGGCAGTGGGACCCAGGGGAGAAGAGAGGTTTCAGCCAGGTCTCCAGCCTCCATCCAGGGCCTCCTTAGTTTGCCACTGAGAGAAGCCAAATCTTTCCCAAACTCAGAACCAGCTCCCACGGGCTTCCAAAGCCTACAAGAGAAGAGCCAACATCTTTTCTCTGAACCCTTAACTAAGCCAGTGGGTACCATGGAGGTACCCAATGGTACCCAATCTTGATCTTTGCAGCAGCTCTGCTCACTAGGGGTCACCACTCCACCCTTCCTTCTGGGATGCTCCTAACCTGCCCATCCTTCTAGGGTGGCAGTTCTCTCTCTTTTTTTCTTTTTTTGTTTATTTTTAAAACAGTCTTTTCTCATTTTACATGCCAACCCCAGTTTCCTCTCCCTCCCCCACTCCCACTCCCCCATTTTCCACCCACCCCCATCTATTCCTCAGAGAGGATAAGGCTTCCCATAGGGAGTCAACAAAGTCTAGCACTTACTTGAGGCAGGATCAAGGCCTTCTCTCCTATATCTAGGCTGAGCAAGGAGTCCCTCCGAAGATGCTTCAAAAAGCCAGTTCAAGCACTAGGAATAAACCCTGGTCCCACTGCCAGTGGCTCTACAGACTGCCCCAGCCACACATCTGTCATCCACATTCAGAGGGCCTAGTTTGATCCTATGCAAGTTCCCTCACTCAGTCTGGAGTCAATGAGCTACCATTACCTCGGGTTGGTTGTTTCTGTGGGTGTCCCCATCATGGTCTTGACCCCTATGCTCATATTATCCCTCCTCCCTCTCTTTGGCTGGACTCTGGGAGCTCAGCCCAGTGCTAACTGAATCTCTGCATCTGCTTCCATCACTTGACAGATGAAGTTCCTAAGTTGACAAGGTAGTAATCAATCTGATTACAGGGAAGGCCAGTTCAGGTACCCTCTCCACTATTGCTTAGGGTCTTAGCTGGGGTCATCCTTGTCAATCCCTGGGAATTTCCCTAGTGCCAGGTTTCTTGCTAGACCCATAATGACCACCTCAATCAAGATCTCTTTCCTTGCTCTCCCTCTCTGACCTTCCCCCATCTCAGACATCCCATTCCCTCATGTTCTCCTCCCCACATCCCTTCTCTTCCCCTCCCCTTCTGCCCTCCCTTCCCCCTCCACAGACACTCCCAATTTTCTCAGGAGTTCTTGTCTATTTCCCCTTACCAAGGGGATCCATATATGTCATTCTTAGGGTTCTCCTTGTTACCTAGCTTTTCTGGGGTCATGGACTATAGGCTGGTTATCTTTTGCTTTATACCTAATATCCACTTATGACTAAGTATATACTATGTTTGTCTTTCTTGATCTGGGTTACCTCACTCAGGATGTTTTTTTCTAGTTCCATCTATTTACCTGCAAATTTTTACCACTGAGTAATACTCCATTGTGTAAATGTACATTTTCTTTACCCATTCTTTGGTTGAGGGGTATCTAGATTGTTTCCAGGTTCTGGCTATTTCAAATAATGCTGCTATGAACATAGTTGATTAAATGTCCTTGTGGTATGAGTGTGCATACTTTGGGTATATGCCCAAGAGTGGTATTGCTGGGTCTTGAGGTAGGTTGATTCCAGTTTTCTGAGAAACCGCCATACTAATTTTCAAAGTGGCTGTACAAGTTTGCACCCCCACCAGCAATGGAGGAGTGCTCCCCTCACTCCGTATCCTCTCCAGCATAAACTATCATCAGTATTTTTGATCTTAGCCATCTGACTAGTGTAAGATGGTATCTCAGAGTCATTTTGATTTGCATTCCCCTGATGGCTAAGGATGTTGAGTGTTTTCTTAAGTGTCTTTCGGCCATTTTGTTGAGAATTCTCTGTTCAGATCTGTACCCCATTTTTCAGTTGAATTATTTATATTTTTTTGATTTTTTTATCTCTGTTTGATGTGGGGTTGGTGAAGATTCTTTCCCATTTACTTGACTGCCATTTTGTCTTGTTGACTGTGTCCTTGGCGATTCTCAACCTGTGGATAGTGACCCCTTTGTGGGTCTTATGGCCCTTTCACAGGGGTCGCCTAAGACCATCAGGAAACAGAGATATACATTATGATTCATAACAGTAGCAACATTACAGTTGTGAAGTAGCAACAAAAATTACTTTATGGTTGGGGGGGTCACCACAACGTGACGAACTGCATTAAAGGTATGAAGCATTAGGAAGGTTGACAACCACTGATCCAGGGGAAAATGAGACCCTCGGGAGCGGCCTCCCAGAAGGCTTTTATCCTGGAGTTTACCCTGAGCAGAGGAAGTGCCCCTCCCTCTAAGCAGAGAGCCCTTGTTCCCCCTTTGACTCTCTCTCTTCACTGAGTCTTTTTGTTTCCACACAGGGCGAGCCTGGGACTCCAGGAGCCAAGGTATTGACGAAAAGGGAATCCTGCAGAGCATAGAAAAATGAGATTGACTGTGGGGTGAGGCTGGCAGGGACCACCAATCTGCTTCTGGCCCCCTGAGGCCCAGCCAGGGTGTATGTGAGCAGATTGCAAGGAGAGGAGTCTCCTCTTTCCTAGCCCTGTCTGCATGTGTGGCAGCTGCTGGGGGGGGGAGGGGAAGGGCATGGAAGCCATGATATGCTATCCCCTGCACTTCACCTGGTGTCTCATCTTATCTGGAACAATAACATGTTCATGTAGCATGACAGAAAAGTCCAATGAACTTGAAAATCATTGTGTTAAAAAAATCTTCCGTGGAGTCAGGCCAGGTGCACAGGCCTAGAATCTTGCCTCCATGGGAGGCTGAGGCAGGAAGGTCCCAAACTCATTGAGCACACTCAAACTTGGCAAGACTTTTGGTCAAGGGAAGGATAAAAGAGGAGTAGGGATAGTGGATGTGTGCATATCTGGCATGCAGAAGGCCTGGGGGGGGAGCGCTGCTCAATGCGCTCTGGAAAATCCTGAAAAGCCAATGCAGTATGCAGTCCCCATGTATTTATCTGAACACCTCTTGTTTATAGGGAACCTGGGGATAGTTGTCTGGAAACCCTGACCTCTGGTTCCACCCCATCCTCCCCTCACCACCATGACCTTTTATCAATGGCTTTCTCTTATCACTGAGAGGTGCAAGAAAGCTCGCGTCCCAGATGGGCTGGGAAAGACGGCACAGAGTAGCTACTATGCTGCGTAGGGATGGTGTGGATGAAGGGGGTGTGGCATGGACCAGCCAACCTGGGGACACAAACACTTCCAGAAGTCCTTGGCTACCAGTGAAAGGCCAGGGGGCAAGGACCCTACCTCGTCATCTTGTTGCCAAGCATTTCTGTAGATAGAATATGTGTCTTTTGCTCTAGCTATTGGGAGTGCCAGGCTAAAACCCACCCCAGGGACAGCCCAGACAAGTGGGGAGCTAGTCAGGCCTTCCTTTTCCCCACTCTCAGTTTTCCTTACTAGGCTCCTGCCTGGCTCTCTACCTCCTTTCCTGCCTCCATACCCTGTTACCAGGCAGCCTGTACCCAAGGGCAAGCTGCAGGGATATGACACCTACAAACTCAGTGTGCCATCTTAACTGGCTCCAGCTGGAAAGATCATTAAGACTGTGGCCCCAGAGTCCCCCAGATCATATTCTTGTATACAGGAATGGCATTACCACACTGCACTGTGGAGACAAGAATTCTAATGCCGACCTGCATCAATTCCCTGCTGGTTGTTGGTGGGGCGACATTTCCATTGGGCACTGCTCTGGAGTGAACTACGCCCCTCAAAATTCATATGCTGAAGCCCAGAGCCCCCAGGTGTCTGCACTAGAAGATAGGGGTTTTAGGGGATAATAAAGATTAACTGAGGTCACAAGGATGGGACCCTAACCTGATGGCACTGGTGGACTTACCAGAAGATAGTCTTCCTCTTTGCCAAGTGAGAACAGACAGAAGACAGCCATCTATGAGCCAGGAGAGACTGTCCCTTCTCCCTCACACAGGCACCCAGACAGCAGTTGGGCATGATAAGAGATTAGATCTCTGCTATCTCAACCACTCAGGCACGGTGTTTTGTTACGACACCGTGCTGACTCATACGGACACTGTGGAGGCACATGAAGACGGTACCCTAAGAGGCAGGCCACGCGAGACCTGGAGGAGACTGGCTCTGCCGTGAGCTCAGTGAGGGGCAACCCTAAGTCACCTATTTCATGGGGCAGACTGGCTCCACCTATGAAATGAGGCTTGGATTCCAGTAGCCCTATAGGACTCAGCGATTTGTGCCATGGGGACAGATAGCTGAGGTCTTTAACGCTGAACAGAGCTGAAGCAGGGAATCTTGAATCAACAATCCACAGACCCAAATGAATCAACAGCAGAACTTAAGGCCTCTCAGCCCTGAAGGCAGAAGCCCAAGGGCAGGTGGGAGGGGAGTACATTCTGAAGCCTTTTACTCTGGAGTGATTTAGGACAGTTTTCATGACCCCTCAGCTTGCAGAAGCCTCACCTCGTCTTCTTCCATTTTCACAAATCAGCTGTGTGTCTATGTCTGTGTGTCTGTCTGTCTCTCTCCAGACTTCCCCATCCAGTAATGTAATGGGAAAATGGGGTCCTATCTCCTCCAGTGTTATCCCCTTTATATTTGATCTTAACTGATCTTCAATGACCCTATTTCCAACACAGGTCATTTTCTGAAGTACTAGAGGTTAGGACTTCCACACCAAACTTTACTGGAACACAATTTAGTCCATGACACAAGCTTCTCAAAAAGGACATTCTGGCCTATGGGTTCTGTCGAGAGGCAGGAGAAGGCAGGCAGAAAAGACAGGGGCTAGTGCGGGGGGGGGGGTGGGGGGACAAGGGGACAGACAAAAAGACAACAGCACAGTGAATACAAGGGGGAATTTTCCAAGCTCTGACTTTCCAAACTGCTCTCCTCTCTCTTCCAGGGGCTCCCAGGAGAAGGGGGCTCAACAGTGAACTGTGCCCAGGGTCTCTGCTCCATCCTGAGAATTCTAAGAGCCAGGCTCACATAGGAACAGAGCAGAGATGTCAGCCATTGCCTGTCTGAAGAGCAGGAATAAGTCAGGATGGAGGTCCAACAGGAAGCAGAGGCCAAGGAGGGACTGATAGACAAGAGCCAGGGGAGCCACAAGGGAGGCAGAGGCAGGCGTATCTCTGTGAGTCTGAGGCCAGCCTGGTCTAGTTTTCAGGATAGCCAGAGCTACACAGAGAAACCATATCTTGAAAACAAAACAAGAAGAGCTAGGGAAGCAGTACTCTAAGACAGAAGGGCACTGCCTCCCCAGACATCCTGAAGAAGCTGTTCTCAGTCTGCCTCAATCTCCCTCTCTCTCTTCTCCCCTCTCTCCCCCTCTCCCTCTCCAGGGAGAAAAAGGTGATGCAGGCAATGCCATTGGAGGAGGCAGGGGGGAGCCTGGCCCCCCAGGGCTCCCTGGGCCCCCTGGGCCAAAGGTGAGTCTTCGCTGGTGTCTGTGTCAATAGAGATGTGGAGCCCCAAAGAGGAGCAGGTAGATAGCAACAGGAGGGCAAGGTGAAGCATGTGTGGTTACTGCCTTCCCAGCATCCTAGAGACACAGCTCCAGCCTAACTCAGCAGGAGCTGTGACTTTGGCAGAGGCAGCACCACCACCACCCCATGCTCTCGGACCTGGGGTCATAGGTCATGAGGTTGTCACAGTTTGGGTCTCAATAGGGACTTGGAGATGCCTGGCCACCGTGTCTATGGCTTCTGATATAAGGGAGGAGAGTTAGAAAGCTGTGTCCACAAACTCGGGTCCACTTTCCAGGGCCACTAAAGGAAGTACTAGAGTGGCCTCTGCCTTCATGTCTCTCCTGACACAGCCCAGCCTGAACTCAGGGGATCTCTACCCTGATCCCCAAGGCCTCCGTGTCCCCTTCTGTTGCCCAGGCAGGCAGGACCTGGTGTAGTGTGTCTTTCCAACAGACCTCTCCATCTCCAGTGTCTGGAGTGGCTGCCCAATGTGTCCTCACCCTCTTTCTCTGCTTCCCAGGGAGAAGCTGGTGCTGATGGCCAGGCTGGACCCCCAGGGCAGCAAGGAGACAAGGTAGAGTCCCCCACAGTCAGGAACAACATGATGAGGATGGCTAGGGCTGTTCAAACACAACTCAGGAAATCAACCCTCCCTAGTCTGACTTGATGCCAGTGCTGACCCTGGGCTAGCCAGCTATGGTTCCTGATTCCATCTCGTGGCTGGAATCTCAGAGAAGCAGCCGCTGAGACAATGGGCATGCAAAAGCCTGCCTGGAGAATGGGACGCTTCAGCTAGAGAATGAGTCTGAACCCTGGCTCATAGTAGCTTCCCTAGCCACAAATCTAGATGGAGAACTCCTTCCTCTCTGGTTCTCCCTGCCTCTCTCACAGGCCCATAATAACCAAAATGCTGAGGTGGGAGGGACACAGAGGCCTGTTCCTCAAAGGGCCAGAATTCAAGTTCTCTTTATCTTTGACTTTGTGTTTTGCCTTCAAAGGTCATGGGAAAACTAGATGTGTGATTTGCCCTTTGCTTGACACCCCTGTTCCATCTATTCCACGTTACGTAGTCCTATTTCCATTAGGAACAGCCCCCAGCCCCTGGCCCACTCTAGGACATCAGTATCCCTCTAGCTGTGACATCCCTGAACTCTGTTTTTGCCCTGTGGTTCCCTCTGTCCCAGGGAGAGAGGTCCCTAAAAAATGTTGCATGGGCTCATTGAGGCCATCACTGGACACCAGAAAATGGAACCGGTACAGAAGGGAAGTCAGAGGAAGCAAAGGGCTAGAAACGCACCACCAAGGTTGTGGTTTAGGGAACTGGAAAAAGGTGGCCAAAGGGACAGAGGAGAATCTCTAACAACATAGGGCAGAAAAGAAGGGACATCATTAAGTGCAAAAGGAGTAGGACACCAGGTAATTCAAACTCAGAGGAAGAAAGTGCGGGCAATGTTAGGGATGTTTCTGGAAGGGAGCAGAGTCCGCACTGAAGCATGCAGGGAAGTTTGTTCTGTTGGTCTGAGCCAAGATGAATGGTCTGCCTGGCCCCTCTGTGACCCCTGAAGTGTAGCTCACTCGAGGACATCAATGTTCAGTCTTATCAACCGTCTCACTCATTTGTCTGCCACAGGGGCAACCAGGAGCAGCTGGGGTGCAGGGACCAGCTGGCCCCAAGGTATGTTCATCCGCCTGAAGTTGTAGCATGAAGGGACTTGACCCTGAACTCATGGAGAGGTGGGAAGGGAACCGTGCGCTGTCCCTAGGAGGGGCATCTGCTTAGCCATGGTGGCTAGACTCATCCATCTCTGGACCTGTATAGCTCAAGCACACACTGCTCGTTTTTTCCACAAAGCCTCGAGTACCCTGGCAAACAGTCCCGGATGCTCTATGCCACCCCGTGTCCAGGCAGCTACAGGGACCGCCAGGTACAAGCAGCTACCATAGGCTGCAGGCTCTCAGGCCCCTCCTGTCCCAGGCTCTGACCGAGAACTCCTCTGCCTTCTAGGGCTCCAAGGGTGAACCCGGGAAGGGAGAGATGGTGGATTACAATGGAAACATCAACGAGGCGCTTCAGGTGAGTGGCCTCCACTCTAGAGGCTGGGGATCTCCAAGTCCGAGTGGAGGTCTTAGCCCAACTGGTTAAAACTTGGCTCTGGCCAAGCAGAGAGCCATTGGGAGTCCCCTTCTTCCCATAAAATGCCACCCCTCAGTGCTCTGGGGGCTTATGACTCATGGGCACCCCCTTCACCTGGTAGGAGCTGCCACTACCTCTCTGAAACACAGTGTTCTGGCAGTTTCATCCTGTTTCAAGTTCATGAGCCCCCATCTTTTAAATAGGTGCCCCTATCTTGACACATTCATTCCTGGCTGGCTCATGGTGGCAGTAAGTGGAAGAGCTGTCCCATGTGCTGAAGGGTTTTTAGCGCATTTCAACCCACTAGACTGGCGGCCCCCCATCTTTAATCGGGACCAGGCAGTTCCAGAGCTCCAGTGTGTGAGGCTGTGTGGAGGTGTGGGAGTCTTTGTCAGGACCACGGGGTCAGCTGCGTGCTGAGCTTCAAGAAAGTGTTTTGCCAGCTTCTGCTCTGGGTTCTGGGAGAAAAAGAAAGGGCAGGGGAAGCCCCTGCAGGAATTAGGAGGAAAAGGGGGTGCTATGTCCTTCTTGCCTTCAATTAAGAGATCACACCCCACAGTAAGCGGGTCTAGTCCACCCGGGACAGCATTGAGATTTTGAGAGCCCCTATCTGGATGTTTCCCATCCAAATGACAACTCTTTGTGATGTGTGGGGGTGGCACAGCCCCAAGAGCCCATCTGCGAGGTCTTCCTCCGCCCCGTGCCTTCAGAGGGACTGCAGAGGAGGGCTGGCAGCTGGAGTCTGTTGTTCTTCAGCTAAATGGACTGTGTTTTTTCCCCCCTCAGGAGATCAGGACTCTGGCCTTGATGGTAAGTCACGGGAGCTCCTCCCTGGTTTTCCCTCAGGCGCTGGGTTGGGCATGAAGAGTGCAGTCTAGAGCTCTGACCTCCAGAAGGCACGGGCTGAGCTTCTGGGCCATGCCAGGCAGAGGGTGCAGCAAACCTGGAAAGGGAAGGGAACTGTGTGTCCCTCTATCAGGGCTCCTGGTGGTGACAGTTCCTCATCTACACAGTGGTTCACACAGGAACACTGTGAGCTCTGGATGGTATTTACAACATCTCTGGGGCACAGTTTCTCTCTCTCTCTCTCTCTCTCTCTCTCTCTCTCTCTCTCTCTCTCTCTGTGGAAAATGAGTAGCAGCTGTCTATGCAGTTTCAGTATCTGTGCCTGGAAAAACCCTGCAATTCCATGCTGGGTTCCACATGTGCCAACCAGCGGCAGACTCAAGGGAAACATTTGTAGTTATGACAACTGTCACCAACTCCAGCCTCCACAGTGGAGAAGGAAAGGTGCCCCAAGGTTCCAGAAGTGTGGGAGTCTCTGTTCCTCTAATATTTGGGAACGACGCAGCAGGATGACACACAAGGTGGCTCGCATCTATAGTCCTAGGACTTGGGAGGCGGAGACAGGAGGGTCACCCCAAGTTCAAGGCCAGCCTGGTCTATGTAGCGAATACTGACCCAGCTGTAGCCACTGACGAGACCTTGTCTCAGACAAACTCTATTTCCAGGGAAACCTCATTCCTGGACACTGGTACAAACCACAAGGCTCCAGAACCAATGAACTTCATATGGGAACATTAAAATATGTTATTTTAAAAGGCCATTGGAGGTATGGGGAATGGCTCAGTTGGTAACATGCTTGCTGGACTTTTGAACATGAAGATCCAAGTTTTATCATTAGAACCCACATAAAAAGCCAAGCATTGGGTCCGGGAGATAGCTCAGCAGGTGAAGCTGTATACTGTTCATACCTGTACATACCTGGTGACATGAATGTCATCCAGGGAAAAAAAGAACCAGCTCCCACGAGGTTGTCCCCTGACCTCCACATTTGGGCTGTAGCTTGTGTGTGCATGTGTGAGGACACACACACACACCCCTGAGGAAATGTTACATTTGAAAGTGACTGACCCCTGTAAACCACATGGAGCCCTCTGGTAACAGCCACCCCTTTCTGCTTTAAAGTTCTTCCTTTCCTTCCTAGGGTCCTCCTGGTCTTCCTGGACAAACAGGCCCACCTGGACCTCCGGGGAGTCCAGGTCAAAGGGTAAGACTTGCCCCGTTGAGGGGTGGGGATTGGGGAGGTGGGGACTGGGCAGGTGGGGGGGCAGAATGAGGTGTTTAAAATGCTGGAAGGGTAACACATTCTGAGCACATGATCATGGGGCCTCCCCATGTTCTGTGACCCTCCCGCCTTCCCAGGATCACCACACTTGCCTGTCATTCCTCTCTGTATCTTAGACCCTACCACTCACTCCATTTCCCTCACTCCCAGCCTCAAGCTCTGCCATTCTTCCCTGGTAGTTAGTCTTTGGTCTTGTGCTTCAGAGAACCCCCTCAGATACAGTGGGTCCTGGAACATACCCCTGGTCACAGCCACCAGACCCAGGTTACCCCTTTCCAGATCTCAACCTCCCTCCCTCAGTGCCTTTGCCATTATTCTCATCCTCTGCCAACCCTTTCGTCTGCTTTCTGGAAGAAACCTTGTGTTTTCTCCCTGCCTCTGAGAGCCTGCCCTCCTCCAGGTACCCTTCTCCAGGGAGTCACTGCAGATGCATCCAGCAGAGTTAGCTGCCTCTCTCCTCGGCTCCTTCCCACATCATCTTACCACATCCTTCCTGCCCCCAGCCTAAATGAGGAAGGGTGTGAGATTGCTGTGAAGTGGATAGGAACTCCCTGTAGACAGTGAGGACAGGAGGTTTGGGCTATGATGACCAGGAGCTTTGAGACGTTCAGGGCTCTCAGAGACAGCCGTGTGACACAGTGGCTACAACATGGGTCACAGGATGCTCAGCTCCCCTCACCACCATACTTTGAGATCCTGAGCATAGGCCTTCCAGGAGCTATGGGGGCAGGGGCAGGGTATCAAGGAGGTGAGCATTAGCGTCTCTACTCTAAACTGTTTCTGTCGCCCCTGCTGCAGGGGGAGATTGGTCTGCCAGGCCCTCCAGGACATGATGGGGACAAGGTAAGCAACACTGTCTACAGCAAGAATTCTGCAAGTGGTTCTCACCCAGGGAGTGTGGGCAGGAGAGCTCAGGAGCCGGCCCAAACAGGGAAAGTTAGGAGGGTCAGGAAGAGGGGTTCCAGCTCTACCTGGCAGAGCCAGCCTGGGGATCTCTATGAGCTCCCACTCAGTGCCAGTGACCCCAGCCTTTGACCACCATGCCTTTTCTGATCTCTCCCTCCCTCCTTTCTCAGTTAATATCCCTAAGAAGTGTCATTAATATTTCTATAGGGACCTCGAGGAAAACCAGGAGATATGGGGCCCGCTGGCCCTCAAGGACCCCCAGGAAAGGATGGGCCTCCGGGAATGAAGGGAGAGACCGGACCCCCAGGGAGCCCCGGGGAGAAAGGGGAGACAGGACAAGCAGGCCCCCAGGTAAGTGTCTGGACAGCAGGCACCCTGCATGCACCACCTCCAGCCTGACCTGGGCTCTGCATGCTGCCAGCTGCTCCCGCGTTCAGAGAACCAAGATTTACTTTATTGCCACTCACTTTATGAAGGCTGGTATCCTGTAGTGTCCCCACGCAGGAGAGCTGAGTCCTGTACCAACCTCAACTGTGTCCTTGGGGAAGTCACTGAATCTTGCATATCCTCAGTTTTCCATCTCTAAGATGGGAATAACAATGCCTTTCCTGGAACCCCCATGGACTGTTGAAAAAGACACAGGCAGGGCTGTGAGCCTGCTTCTCCAGAAGCATGTGGAAGCTGTACATCAGAAGAGTTTGCATGAATGGGAAGGGACCCTCCCCGCCCCGCCTAGTCCAGCTAGGCTGCTGACTTAGCTGAGGAGCTTTCTCTGGACCTCAGTAGTAGCATCCGTGAAATGGCACCACCCTTGGCCACCCACCCTTGGAGGAAGGGAATCACGCATGCATGCATGCCACAGATGGGCACGTTTGCTCAGCATGATGGCTCTGAGCTTCACTGACAGAGATCTTTGTCGATCTGTAGGGTCTAGACGGCCCAACTGGGGAGAAAGGAGAACCAGGTGACGAAGGGAGGCCCGGAGCGACAGGATTACCTGGGCCCATCGGGCTCCCAGGATTCACAGTAAGGCGAGAGGACCGGGTGTCAAGGGTGTCCACAGGCAGCTGCAGATGAGGGCACATGAACAAGGGGCTCCTCACCGGGCCAGCCACCTAAGAGTGCCTGTCACCATGCCAGGCTGTGGTAGCCTAGGCCTATCAGCTGGCTTGGAGTCCCGATTGGACCCAAACAGAGTTTTAGCTTCTTCAGTACACAATGTGGTAGCTTCTGTCTTCAGGCGCTACTTAGCCCACTTAGGGTGCTGAACTCGTACATGGAATTCTGCTCTTAGAACTAGAAAGATACAGGTAAGTCCCTGGGGTGTACAGGACAGTCAGCCTAGCTGAATCATTGAGCCCCGGGTCCCCCAAAAGGGGGTGTGGACGAAGCAAGCAAACAAACAAGACAGGCACCTGGGGGACATTTGAGGTTGACTTCCTGACTCCACACACCCATACACAAACACACAAAAAAGTAAAAGAGCCTCAGAGGTCAGATGGACCCTGAAGGTGAACATCTACCCAGCAGGGCCAGGCAGGTAGGTAGAGGACTCACAGCTTCTCAGCATGACGATTTCCAAGATGGAAGCTGAGCTCCTGGACTTGATGTGGTCTCTTCTCGGTCCGCCTCCCCCACTGGCTCCCCCGAGGCTCTGGGACCTGAGCTGTTCACTGTCTGTCGGTGTACCCTAAGCCATCACAACAGCAGCTCTGAAAATACTACGGCTCTGTCAGTATGTCTGTTCTGCGGCTCAGGAGCCGAGGCCTGTCGTCGCTGAGTTCCCCAGCCAGGGTCTCCGAGGCCGCAGTCACATCGCTGGCTGTCTGTGTCCTTACCCGGAGCCTGTGGTCCTCTTCCTAGCCACTAGCTGTTGACAAGATCTGATCCCTTCCCATAGTAGAACTGAGTCCCCCAGTTCCTGCATGCCACCTACAGGTCCCAGCCACGTGTCTCTCCCCATGGTGGACAGTTCACCTCACAATGGCTTATTGAAGGTCACCAGGAGGACTTTTCTAGAATCTAGAACTACCAAGACAGAGTCATGTGCACACATGTGTCTATGTGTGCATACATATCTATAACGTGTCTTAGCATGTGTTACATTTTCGTATGTATAACACATGTATGTGGTGGTGTGTAAAATAGTCACAGGGGTGTCAGGCATCATGAGGCCACATTCCCTCTTCCAAGACTGAAAAGCAAGCCACAGTTCCACCCTGCAGTGTGTCTGCCGCAGGAACCACACACAGGACCAGCCCTGCTCCCAGAGCTGGAGTCTCAGACCCTTAAAGATGATGATTGCCTCAGGGTCGTCTTGGTCCTTGGTCCTGTGGGCTGGCTACCAGTACACCTCCCCAGGGACAGCCTAGCTCTTGTAGCTTATGACAGATGTGAGGGTGGGCCTGTGACCAAACTCCTGGATAGCAGCTCTCACACTGGGATGTTTTTGTGCCCACAGGGAGAGAAAGGAGAAGCTGGGGAGAAAGGTGACCCAGGAGCAGAGGTAGGTGGACCCTGCTCTTCCTTCTGTGTAATGCCTGACAAAGGGCCTCACTAGAAATACCAGTTTTTCTCCAAGTTGCTTAGCGTCTCTGACCAGGGAAGGCCGGAAGCTGGGCAGCTGTCAGGTGCTGAGCTCCAAGGCAGCCCTGGTCATACACTAACCGATTCCCGCAGTGCCCAGAGAAGACCCTGAGGCTCCAGTAGGCATAGAAAAGTAGATAGAACCACCTGGCTGTGCCACAGAGATTGAACCATTCGGGAAGGTTCTGAACGGCCATGTAGGATGTCATCACAGAGTTTCAGAGGAATGCTTTCCCGAGAAGATTCTCTGAGAGGCAGAGAGGAAGGATACAGAACAAGCAATCAGTCTGGAAACGGGCTTTGCCAAAGATGGAGAGCGCTGTACATGTTTGTACAGGGGAGGCAGCGGAGATCCTGGGGATGGGAGAGAGTTTGGTAGGAAGGTCTGGGCAGTCCAGAAGCCTCCCGAGAGCAAAGCCAGAGACCACCAAGCGTCACGGTCCCCCACGAGGTCCCCTGGCCTGTCGCTCTTTAATGTCACCAGCCCCATCTGAATTCAGTGAGACAGACCCAAGTATGCTACCGCTGTTCCTTATTTAAGAATGGATTGCACCCTAAAGAAGCTAATCCTAAATTCTGGAAAAGCATTATACACACAAAAGTTCCCTTCCAGAAGTATTTCAAGCCAAAATTGAAAACAGACCGTGTTTCTAACAAGATGGAAAGAATTAAAATCCTTAGGCTGACAAGCTAGCGGTACTAGCTTCGTCCATGGTTGAGGGACGTCCTTGTGCCAACCGCCATTCTCGGCCCTGTCCAGGGAGACAGTGCCCTCCTGACCAAAGGCCAGTGTGTCATTGGGGAAGGGGGCTCATGGGGGAACACACCCCAAAATCAAAAAATCTGTTTCATATCAGCTATAAAAGACTAGAAAACCAATTTATATTTATGTATTCTTGTAAGCACAAAAACAAATACAACTATAGCTGTTACGTCCAGAAAGGGAGGGAAGATACTGGACAAAATATTAGCAATCTTCTCAGTTGATATGCTAGAAATGTATTATTTTTTCCTCCTTTCAGTTCTCTTTCATTTATAAACTATTTAATAAGTCTGTGTTACTTTTAAACTTTTTCTGTTGTTGTTTTTCAAGACAGGGTTTCTCTATGTAGCCCTGGCTGGCCTGGAACTCACTCTGTAGACCAGGTTGTCCTCAAACTCACAGAGACATGCCTGCCTCTGCCTCCCGAATGCATCATGCTCAGTGGGATTTGGGCTTCTACGAGCATTCTTATACTCAGATCCATATATTATTTATAATAAGACCAATAAGTGTGTGTGTGCACGCGTGTGTGTGTCTTCCCACATGCTAGCCAGATGCTCTGCCACTAAGCTACAGCCCCATCTGAGTGCCCCAGTTTCATGTCTGCTGCTGTAATAAAATACCCTGACAAAGAAAGCACCTTGGGGAGAAAGGGTTTAGTTAGCTGACCGTTCCAGATATGGTCCAATGATTGCAGGGACGTCGGGGTGGTGGAAGTTTAAGTCAGCTGGTCCCATCGTGTCTGTTGTCAAGAACAGACAGAAATGGATGCATGCTTGCTTGCTCACTCCCTCAGCTTCATTTCTCCACACATGCCGTTCAGGTAGCCCCAGCCTAGGGAATGATGCTGCCCACAGTGGGCTGGCTCTTCCCACATCCATCAGTTATTAATGTACCACAGACACGGCCACGGGTCAACCCAAAGTGAGACTCTTTCGTGTTGTGTCAAGTTAACAAAACTAACCATCAAGCCAAACACAGGAAGCCTTTCAACGCGGTCTCCTTCACAAGGAGATTGCCACTGAGCAGAAGCACCCCAGTCCCAGAGACGCTGGTGTTTTCCTGTCCAGTCTGAGTCTCTCTCGCTGCATCTACCCTCAAAAGAAATACAACCAACTGTCCCTGGCCACCCGTGACAAACCTGGGGTGGAACTAGTCCTGAAGAATGATTCTCCAGTGGTATCTCAGCCTCCCCTGGCTTCAGATAACTAGTGTCTGCTCCCATAAACCAAGGATCTCAAACTCACATGTCTACAAGGTCCAGGAAACACATGAATGCCAAGAGGCCAGAGTTGAAGATGGCAGGGGATAGAGTCTGGGCAGATTGAAGATCATGCCCTATCTAGAAGACAGGGCTCTCATTTTTTTCCTGGGTAGTGGTTGCCATGCACAACATGGCATCAATCTGCTGCTAGCTAAGTGGTATTCCAGGGCAACCTGGAGGACCAAGGCGATGGAGACGTTTCTTGAAAATGGTTTGGGACTGACTCTATGTGAGACTAACAAACAGTTTGTCCTGGGTTCCTGTCCTGAGTCTCCTTTAGGAAGGCTGCATATTGGCCTGACCTTCAATGGCTTTCCTATCCTCCCGTGACCTTAGCTGGACCAGGATCATAATAGAGCATAACGGAACTTCCTTTTTTGCCTTATAGGTTCCTGGGCCACCAGGGCCAGAGGGTCCTCCAGGGCCTCCGGTAAGTGTCAAGGACGCGGTAGCATGTCAGCCATTGTGGTTATCCCTCTGGTATCCCCTCCCTTGGCAGTACTGAACTCAACCTCAGCCTTGGGTCACTTCCACAAACCCTCCCCACCCCTCTTCCCTCCCATCTTAAACGTGTCTCCCAGTGGCACACCAGGAAGCTCGGTCACTGCCTGGTTGACTGGTATGGAAGTCATAGACTTCTGTCACTTCTGTCACTGCTTTGTCCCGACATTCATTTAACCCTTTCCTATCAGATGTCTATTCTCGCTCTTTTCTCCTTCCTGTTAGCAAGATCATTTTTAAGAAAGTGACCCATTAAAACCAGTCCAGTTGGATGCAGCTAGAGGGTCCCCCAAACTCCTCAAGTGAGCAGGTGTTGGTCTGTGCCTCTTCATGTTCCATCCTGCTCCTTACATTCTGGGTCACCCATTGGACTAGCAACAGTACTAATAGTCAACCCCACTTAATGGAAGTTCCCGTGTCCCACATACTAAGTGTTTCACATACTTTAATTCACTCCATTTTCACGGCTTCCTCCTCTGCCCTTAATGAAACACAGAGTCAGCTATGGGAGGCCACAGAGAGATTTTGTAGCAGTCCCTGACGGGGCAGATGGTTTTTATGCCACTCCAGGAAACCCCATACTCAAATCGTCCCCTCTACCTCTCAAGAGCCGGGACCTGAGAATATACACCTCAAAGCTATGCCCTTCTGTGGTCACCTACACATGCATTTCTAATGCTTCTTGTTCTCATCTCAATGCAGGGCCTCCAAGGTGTTCCTGGACCAAAGGTAAGAAAAGGCCACATGGCAGATGCTGTAGGTGGGACGTGCTTCCGAGACCTAGCTGATCCATCTCCCTGAATGGCACCATGCAGACCATCGGGACAGAATGAAGTCCTTTAGTTCCTCTAGCGTCCACCACTGACACATGGCCTGCTTTGGGATGTGAATTTCCCCATCCGCCTTGTGAACTCCATGGAGTTACTTGCTCAACAAATGATCAGACTCTTGCCCCATCTCCCCAGACCCTTCCCTCCACATAAAGTTGGGCAAGATTGCTGCTCCTAGCCTCCAGGACCCCAGAGCACAAGACTGGGCTGCCTGGGGCAGACCCCTTCCTTCATTGTTGCCTTCTGTCTCCCTTTCCTGCAGGGAGAAGCAGGCCTAGATGGCTCCAAAGGCGAGAAGGGTTCCCAGGGAGAAAAAGGAGACCGGGGGCCTCTGGGATTGCCTGTAAGTACCAGGGAGCCATAAGTCTTCTGGAAGGAGCTACCCCCTTGGTAGCCCTCCTCAGGCTTCACTGCTGGGCAGGGACCAGAGAGGGCACCACTCTACATCCAGTTCTGAGCATCCCAGTGTGCTGGCTTCTGTCTTTTCATAGAGGGGAAAGATGGTAGGCCCTCAACATCTTTCCCAGGCCTAGTCTTAGTACTGGAACAATATGAAGCCAACTGAGGTAGGGTCCACACCTGAGGAGCAACCTGATGGAGAACTAGAAAGGCCTAAGGTCAACCCAAGGCCTGCTGGGGCTTGACTTGAAGCCATAAAGATGTGTCCTGAGGGGGTAAGCACAGAAGACTTGGGGCACTATGGCAATGGCTATCCCCTCTTCTCCCCCTGCCTATCCCAAATAGCCCCAAGGGAGACCCCAGGTCTAGAGGTGTAGATCAGGCTGAGTGAGTCTCTGCCCCCCCCCTCCCAATAGCCTGGTGACTCATGCATCACTCTCTGAATATGCTTTTCAAGAGCTGAAACAGACTTCAGCAAGCCATCATGTCGTTGTACTGATGGTCCTAAGGTCACAGATGGAGTTAGTACCTAGACTGAGCCAAAGGCTTCTCACCCATTGAAGCTACAGGGGGCTTCCTCTGCCTCCAGCGCCAAGCCAGTCCCTAACCCCAGGTAGCTGTAAACAGCAGAGGAACCATGGGAAGCCAATGCAGTCCTAGCAAACACACAGCAGAGGCCAAAGGCACTGTTTCCCCGCTCGCTGGTGCAGCTAGCGTGGGAAGAGCTTAAGAGCCGATTCGCTTGACAGCCCACAGCGTAGTGAAGGCTTTAGCAGACAGACGCTTGCCCCTGCAGAAGCCCTGTCTGGAATGACTGAAGTACACACGGAAGCACCCTCCTGACCCCTTCAACCACAGATCACCTGTTGTTCACCTTCATAGCGCCAACAGCCCCAGGAACATGACAGGCTTCAGCTGGGGGTCCCCATGCCTGTAATCCAGGCACCCAGCAGGGGACGTAAACAAAGACAGCGCCAGCTGAGTGACAGAGAAGCCCCTCAATGTTTGTTTCTCCAACCGTTTCTGGTAGAGGCGTCTGTACGGAGAAGTCCCTACCTTAGTTTGAAAACTGCAACAGAAGGCCTGGAGCGATGACTTAGTCAAGTGCTTGCCTTCTAAGTATGAGTCTTTACTCGGACCCCTAGGGCCCTTGTGAAGCCGTGGTGGTGCACGCCTTCAGTCCTAGTACTCCAGAGGAAGAAGCAGGTGGATATCTGAGTTCGAGGCCAGCCTGCTCTGCAGAATGAGTTCTAGGACAGCCAGGGCTACGCAGAGGAATCCTGTCTCAAAAAAACAAAACAGAAAAAAAAGAAATTGGGCAGAAGCTGTGTGTGCCTCTAATCTCCAGCAGTGGTAAAACCACAGATCCCTGGAAGCTCACAGCCAGCTAACCTGGGCTCTGTAGAGAACTTCCAGGTCAATGAGAAGCCCTGTCGTAAACAAAAGGAGGAAGGTGCCCAAGGAATGACGCTGGAGGTTGTCCCCTGACCTATACATGCGCCGCGCATGCCCACACCTGTCTGTGTGTCTCCACGCTCACACCTACAAAAACAAACAGTAAAGAAGCAGCAAGATTGTTCATAGACTGTAGTTCACAAGGGCTTCGGGGGAGGCACTATGGAGTGTCCGTGAGAATAGTCTCTTAGCTCAGCCAACATTGGCTTGGGAGGGAGGAGAGCCCAGCACATTTGAGTCTTACAGCTGGATGCCTCGCATTGTATAGGCAGTTGCCCCATAAATATTCTGAGCAACAGATCAGCAGCATTTCTAGCCCTGGAGGTGATGCCAGTGGTTCACCAAGGGTTTGAATGTTTTGGCCCGTGCCCTCTGACCCAAACCCCTCAAGAGCACTTGGTGGCGGCTTCGTGTCTGCACGTCCCATGGATGCTCCAGGCTGCTTCTAGACTTTCTCTGGATGTCGGCAGCCATGTGACAGCAGGTAGCAGCCTCTCCAGGCCTATCCTGCTGGCTCCCCCACTTCTGTTTAGCTCTCAGTGGTGCCAGTACACTGTGGAGTCTGCTGGGAGTTTTCTAAACATGGCTTGACCCAGGGTCCCCATTCTTGAAGAGTTGTGTAACGGGGCCAGCGTAGAACCTGGATATCTGTGTTGTAAACAGAACCCCAGGAGAGACGCTGCATGTACCGCCAGAGTTGGGAACCTCAGCTCCAGCTTGGGGCCAACGTCGGTGGTCAGCCCAACACTGAGAACAAATCCTACCCTTTCTCAGGACCAGTTCCTTATGCTCCATCTTCTGGTCTCTCCCCTCATCCACCCGAGACTGAGGCTCATGTCTGAATCTCAGTTAGAAACAGTTTTCAAGAACTCCATGCTTACTGGCTAGGTGTCCCCCCCTGTCAACCTCAGAAACCACTTCAGGGTCTGGCACTAGCAAAAAGGCCCCATCCCCACCGAGTCATCGTTCATTTGGTCAGCAGGGAGTAATGAGGCCACAGGACACGCAGGCTGAGTGGTACCTTCAGGGCCCATTTAACCACAAATTTGTAGCTTTAGACCTCCAGTCCTGCCAGCTGCCTCCAGAGCCTTTGTCTGGAAAGGACACTTGTTTGAATATATATGAATATATATGAATGAACCAAGTTTGTGTCTGACTGTAAAGCGCCAGAGAAATGTCAGCCACTGTCGGTATCCTCATCCAAGGGCTGCCTCCCCCTGCCCAGATGGAGCAGAATTAAGCCTGCTTCTATTCAGGTTTAAAAGCTAGTGCTGGGGCCAGCGAGAGGGTTAAGTGGGTAAAAAGAACTTGCTCTGAGCCGGAAAACCTGAGCTCAGTTTCTGGAACCCACATGGTGGAAGGAGAAAAATCAACCCTCAGAAGTTGTCCTCCGACCTACCTACACACACACACACACACACACACACACACACACACACATATGGGGGGGTAGCGAGCACGCAATTGCTCCTGGGGTTAGGAGGTACACAATGGCCTATCTCTATAGGGGTGCAAGAGAAGCTGGGATCACACCCCCTCCCCAGGAAACCCTCCATGTAGTCTGCCCTGGAGAGGGAGCATAGCTCTGGATCCACACAGATGACCAGGAATGCCTTTCTGTGTCCCCTTCTCTGAGCACCAAAGCATCCTGGGATAAGGGATTCCTGCAGGGTGAAGGGAGAGAGGGGGGCAGAGCTGTGGAGAGTCAGAGCAACTGTCCCAGGGTTCACGCCAGCTCAACCGCCAGCCACGGCCCTCAGTGTCTCCGTGTTCTTGTCAGTGTCCGTGTAAACACGCCCCCTGTCCTCCCAAGCTTGATCCCCCATTGTGTTGATGGCACTCGTGTCTGTCCACGGTCACGCTTACTCACCTCTGCCCTCCCCATTGTCTCCTTTTTCTCTCCCCCCCCCACTCCCTTTCTTCCCTTCCTTTTGGTCAAATCGTGCCTTTCGTCCAGGGAGCTTCAGGTTTGGACGGCAGGCCTGGGCCACCGGTGAGTGTCATTTCTCCGTCACCCTTCCCCTGCCCGTCCCTGTCTGGCCTATGGATCCCTCTTGTCTTTCCTGCTGTGGCCTTGTTCGCTCCCCACCCCACCCCTGCTGCGATAGTGCTCCTGCTTTGTCCCGCCATAGACACCAGGAAGTCCCCTCTGTGCCCACATCAGAAACGCCCTTTCAGACCCCTTGGCCACAGTGTACACTCCAGGACACCAGACACACGGAGCGTGGGACAGCAGAAGTCACTCAAGCGGCAGTGACCCTGATGTCCGGTCCAGCCTGAGAACCCTACCCTGGGGCTTGAGCTGTGTCCCCAGCAAACACAAGTGTCTGTGTGTGACCTTCACGCTGTGTCGTTGTCAGACTGTGAAATCTGTCCATCTTCTGTCTACCCCTGAGGGCCTCCCAGTCACATGTCACCCCGTCTGGAGTGTTTGTTGGGGAACATAGAACGGTCAGGATGAGAGTAGCATGTAGGAGCTCAGAGGCCAGTCTAGCTCGGTGTCCTGTGGGTGCGTTTTAACCACGCCTTTTACTGTCGGTTGTACCCAAGCCACCCTGCAAGCACAACAAGGGGTCTCTAATAGAGCAAGTGGACCCCCCATTGCCCCTTTCCTCCTGATTCCAGAGGAGAGCTCTCAGTGTCTTATCTGCAGACACACAGTCCCGAAGGGCCACAGGAAACGACCCTCTGCTTTACCTGCACAGAATGCCCTGTGAACTTGCCAGCATTGGTTCTGGGATCAGGACATAGAATTTCCCAGCTAGGAAGCCATACTAGGCCTGTGTGCCCAGCAACTGGTAGCCAGCCAGCTATGTCTGGATAGCCAGCGAAGGTCCCTCTTAGCCTTCCAAGGTTCATCACCCTAAAGTCAAGGCTATAGTGACTTTAGCTGACTGGAGTGCCATGTGGGAGAGAAGAAAACCAGCTGGGTCCTGTTGTGCAAGACACTCAGACGGGGTTGTGGGACAGAGCCTAGAGCTTTCAGAGGTAGGAGGTTGCCCGGGCAACCCATCAGAGCCTCGTCCTGCTGAATGCCAACTTTGTCTCCTTGTATGAAAGAGCCATGGAGTGTCCTGTATTGCTGATAGTTGGGGGTCAGGCCCAGCTTCTGCATCTTTATCCCGGGAGACCTTGGAACAGACTCCCTAATTGACCTAGATTTCCAGAGGGGAAATTGAGGCCTGGGTCAGTCTGTAGAGCCATCTGTGGGACACGGAAGCAGAGAACCTGCCTCCAGTCCTGCTCTGGGGGAGCCACTGCTGTCATCCACACTCTACTGTCTTCCTCCTCAAGGCACAGAGGACACCAAGAACTTCTCCTGGCTCTACAGTTCTGTGTGCAGCCAATCTGCATTCTCCCATATGCCCATGCCCCTGCCTTCCCCAGCTACACTCAGAATGCCAGACAGCATCCTCCTTGATCTGAGTAGGACACAAATCCCAAGAGGCCAATAAACAGGAGGCTGTGAAATAGATGTGGGTGGGAACCTGGGAGAAATGGTTGCCGATTCCATAGCTAGCCCAGCTCTGTGTCCAAACAACCCCCAGCTTACTGAAGTGCCCCTAGCTCCCTGGGATCCCAAAATAGTAGAGAACCTGCCTCCACTCCCAGAAGTCCAGTGTGGTTCTGACATTGGAGGGTTACTAGCTCATGACTATTTGCCTGTTCCTCAGGCCTAGGGATCTGTGGATCTGCAGTGGGTTGGGGGAGGGGTGCTGGATGGCCCTCTCACGCCTGCCTCTAAGTGTGTCTCGGCATTGGTCTCTGTGGCATGAAGACCCTCCTGCTGCATGTGGAGCTGTGACAGCAAGGGGGCACCGGCCCTAAGTCCCCCACTCCTGGGGTGGGGTCACCTCCCTCCCCAGTGCTTGTTGGTGGCAAACCCAGCAACTACCCTGCTGTCTTCATCCTTGGCAAGCTTGGCTGTGATGTGAGAGGCTTTCATCCCATGAATCTGGCTCTGAGGAGGGGGGCGGCACACTCCGCCAAGGCCCTTAAATCCAAATTGGATCGTGGCCCGGTCCAGTGGCCTCCTTGAACAAGCCTGGCTTTGCCAATCCTGAAAACCGGGATTCAGGCTTTGCACATCTTCAGGTCCTGGGCGGGATCCTCAGGGCTCTCTCCAGCAAGTGGCCCCTTACCTCTGCTTTCTTTCACCTCCCCAGGGTACTCCAGGACCAATTGGGGTTCCAGGCCCAGCTGGACCAAAAGGCGAGAGGGTGAGTGCCCAGTGAACTGCGATCTTGGGAAACCAGGAAGCAGGGTTGTGCCAGGCTTGTTCATCCCCTGCATCCCTGCACGTGGGACCCATTCCCCCAGGGTCTTAGCCCTCACCCCTGCTCCCACCCATCACTTCTGGTTATCCCTGTAGCAGCCTGGGGGAGAAGAGAACTATTGTATGGCTGCGAGGAGACAGATGAGATGGAAAAGCTCGCTCTCCTCTGGTACCTTGGCACCTGTCACAGTGCCGGCTCTCAAGGATGCAGGTTCTGTTAAGCTCATTTAGAGAAACAGGATAGGGAAGAAGGCCATGCGAGGTTTAAAAAGCCCCTAGATGACATCCGTAAGTCTGAAAGCCAGGGCGTCGGGCAGGATTCCCACTGTTAGTGTTGAGTGGCCATGGCCAAGACACACGATTTCTGAAGCCCAATCCGTTCCTCACAGAATGGGTGTGTAAGAGGATGAGGGTGACGGGTGTGTAAGAGGATGAGGGTAACAAGAATCAGCTCAGTTCTGGGACGGGGGAAGGGGACAAGACTCTGTTCCCCTCAACCATTCAGGTTTCCACACACCCGGGATCTGTCATCCCTAGGGGGCAGACTCCATGTTGATCCACCCCTACGGAGCATCTGCAGTATTCTCTACCCACACCTTTCTCCCTCTGCCCTTTGCCTTCCCAGGAGAGGCTTGTGGTGGGGGAGTGGGTGGCTTCTACATAGACCAGGAGCCTCTCTGAGATCATTGATCCCCTGGGGAGACCGGACTAGCCACACCATGATGATGGCATGGACTTCAGAGAAGGAATCAAAGCTCCTCTCTTGCTCCACCGCCTGCTCTCCTCCCACTGTCTCGTCCTTTCAGGAAGCAGGCTGTACTGGAGAAACAGTGGAAGGGTTCTCAGGGCACACTCTGCCTCACACACATTTCAGTTCCCTGGGGCACTGGCAACTGTCCAAAGAGATATTTCCCATAGGGACTTAGAAAACGGTCACGGGAAGGGAGCCACCACATTGTGCACATGGCATCTTTCTCTCTTTCAGGGCAGCAAAGGAGACCCAGGGATGACAGGACCAACGGGAGCAGCAGGGCTTCCTGTGAGTCTCCTCTGTGTTTCCCTCTGTCCATCTGTCCCCACCACTAAAAGCAGGACCAAAACACACAGCCCAGAGCCTGGAGCTCATACCCGGGGTGGAACGACAAACTGCCTAGAGTTAACTGAGGAGGAGCTAGAAGTCCCTGTGGGGCACAGCAGGGGACAGGTGCTCATCATAGCACGTCTGGAACCTTCTACTTTAGCCCCTGTGCTGTCCAGTAGGGTCCCTGAGGTGCCCTGAGGTGCTTCTGCTGTCCAGGATCCAGATCCCCCACAACACAGAAAGGGGGTGCTGACCTCGAGGACTGAACTCGGCTCCCATCTGCAATGCATTTGCCTGGAGCTTTGCTACAAACGCCAAGTGGCTGTCTCTCATGGAGCCTGGGTTTTGTTTCCCCATCCACCCGAGGTTCATGTGCATCTGACTAAACGAGCGTGTCTGCGCTGGTGGATGCTTAACGCTCGTCCCCCTAGGGTGCTCCCTCTAAAGAGGGTCGCGGCAGCAGTGGAGAGCGAGGGCCTGGTGGGAGAGCCGTGGAAACATTCAACTCAGAGTACCAAGTCCCCACCCCTGACTGCAGCATGAAATCCGTTCCTCACCCCATGAATTCTTATTCACCCCAGAAGAACGCGACTGTCAGCAGGCCCGTGGGCGACAGGGCAAGGAAACCAAGAACCTTGTCCGTGGATTTGCTCCTCTAAGTCGAGTTGTTCGATGCCTTGGCTTCTCTGTTCCCCTTCTGTATAATGGGGGTAATGGAGCCCACCGCCACTGAACCGGGCATCCATCTGTTTCTGAGCCTGAGGGAAGGACCTTATGGCCGTTTCGTGTTTTCTCATTAACATGTCTTCGTTTCTCTGATTTAATGCAGGGTTTACACGGACCACCCGGGGACAAAGGAAACCGGGTAAGTCTGAGCCCTCGCACTCAGGGTCTGGTTACTAATGTCTTCATGATGGAATGGAATGATCAAGTGGAGACTCCTGACCTAACAGGACAAATAGTCTTTCCCTCTAAATCATCCTGAATTGAAAGGCTTTCCAGTGAGGGGCTCCCTGCCATACATGCGGGGAGCCTGGGGCCTAGTACTGTGGTTGAAGCCAGGATTTCTCCTCCGTTCCAGGGAAGGCTAAATGAATCCCACAGCAACCGTCAGATTAGCATGGCCCCATCCAGTTACAGGAGGATGCAAGGCTCCTGTTACTGGAATCTCGCATCCAGTCCTCTCTGTGTTGCCCTGATAACCGGCCCCTTAGTGATATTTTTAGACCCGTTGTCACCTCATCTCTGCCTCCTGAAACTTAGTTTTTGTCAAGCATTCCAGTTCACTGGTGACCAAGAAAATAAATTCCAGCTTCAAGAGCAGGACAGCCAAGCCCCCCCCCCAAAAAGGGATCCCAGCTGCTATTTCTCTTAGAGACTTGGCAGGGAATGGAATGAACAGCACCCTCCAGACCCTCCCTCCTCTCCTTGGCTCCTGCCATCTTCAGGAGGACGTGTTAATTGTCCCCAGTACCATAGGCATATAATGGGCATGACCTTGGGCATTTGGGCACAGCAACAGTAATTTAACTACATTATCTGAGAGATGGCCCTCTTCATCGCCTCTTCCAGTGCCCGTCTGTGTGCAGTGCACGCCCCCTGAGGACCAAGAACATGTTGTAGCAGGCAGTAAACCTCATGGGCTTTACGTGGCAAGGAAGGGGAGGAGCAGGCAAAGAACGGCTGTCCTGAACATGAAATTGTGCTGAATTGAGCTCCCCCCATGAGGCAGAGGCAGAGCGTATGAATCCAGAACCTGGCTGATCTTTGACCTCTAATTGTATCTTCAGGAATAGAGCATGTCAGAATCTGTCTGTTTCTATCTGGCCCTGGTTACATTCATTCTGCTCGATTTAAGAAGTATTTATTGGGGTGCTTCTAAACTCCTAAAGTCTCCCCACCGGCAGTCACACAAAAGCAACTCCACTTGTTCCCAAAACCTATGAACAAGAGAGAGGAGGCAGAGGCACCCCTACCAGACTGCCTATGACAAGAGCACATGGCAACCCACGGCAACAAACTGACCCACCTTCGGCTGTGGAGCTGGTCCCTGAGTCTTCAGAAAACCTGATCATTCCATTTCTTCATTGGCACACAAACCTACCTGACTCATTTCTAATGTGTTCTGGTTTTCTTCGTTACACTCAATTAACATTTTCTACTTCTTAAGACTTTTTCCGTTGGCTGGAGGCACTGAGTCGCTTGAAGTAAAGGTAATTCTTCTGCTGTAGTGGAGAGTCAGAGCCAGGGAGGTACCCTTGTCACAGATGAAGGAGGATGAGAAAATGGACCAGTCTGGTGTCTCGGATGCTAAACCACTATCTGTGGAAGTCCCGGAAATTGTGGGGGAAATCTTTCTCCTCCATTTCTCCTTCCTGCTCTTCAGTAGCTTTCCCCGTCCTGTTTATAAATTAGAACGCGTCTCTTCATTGGAGTCTTAGTCAGGAGCTGAGGGTGTAGCTCAGTCGGTAGATTTGCTTAAAGCCCAGGGTTCTAGTATAACTCTGCATCAAGCTCAGCAGACGGTACACGCCTGTAATCTCAGCTCGCAGGAGGCATAAGGCAGCAAGTCGGGGCTGGCTCTGGTTATATATCCTCTGAGGCTCACCTGGAACCTTACCTCAGAAATCCAAGAAAAAGAAAGCCATGTTCAGGCTTTGCTGGAGAGATGGCTCAGAGGTTAAGAACACTGGTTGCTCTTCCAGAGGTCCTGAGTTCAATTTCTAGCAACCACATGGTGGCTCACAATCATCTGAAATGAGATCTGGCGCCTCCTTCCAGCATATAGACAAAACACTGTATATATAATAAGTAAATAAAGGAAGAAAGAAAGACAGATGGACATGTCAGAAAGAATGTGTCACATCACAAAGGTAAATTGTCCCAAACAGCAGGTTTCAACTCGAGGAACAAATCATTTTCCTCATCCAGGAAATGTGCTATTTAAAAAGGAAAAAAAGAGACACTCTGAGGCTCATCACTTCATTCAGGCCTCTAGGCCACCAGCCCTAATGGGCCCTGAGGGAGATATAGGATATGGATACTTTCACCTAAGTGATATGTCAGGAGCTAAGGCAAGGTTCTGGTTCAAAGAGTCATTGCTGCTGCCTGGGAAGGTGACTCTGGGAAATAACCAGTGTTAGAGGTGTGGAGAGTAGCTCCCACAGGCAGGCCTCAGAATGCACTCTCATCAAACTGGTCTTCCTCATTCCTGGAGAAGCTCTGGGGATCTGTTCCACCTTACCTAAGCAAAGATGCAACCTTAAAATCATACGGTTGGGCGGCACACGGGCCCACAGGCAAAGGTGCGTGCCACCAAGCCCAACAACCTGAGTTCAGGTCCCACGTGATAGAAGGAAAGAGCTGACTCTCCCATACACATACACACATGCACACACATGTGTGCTCGTTCTCTCTCTCTCTGTCTCTCTCTCTCTCTCCCTCCCCTCCCCCCCCTCTCTCTCTCACACACACACACACAGTTGCTTGTCTTGCCCAGAAATGGCCCCATTCTTCTTTCCCACTCATGGAATGAGCTAGGTTCTTGCAATGACAAAATCCAAAACCAGAAGCTTGCTAAGGACACACAGGACCATTGAAAGGGTGCTTGCTCTTGTCTCTGCAGGAACCCTTCTCCCATCCCCTCTTATCTCCAAGTGACTGAGTGGATTTGGCCCAGGCACCCTATTTACAACAGAAACACTGATCAAAGCCAGCCATGGCGCCTCAGGCTTGTAGTCCCAGAGTGTGGGAGGTTGAGGTGGAAGGACCCCGCGTTCACACATTCATCCTCAACTACACATCAGGTGTGAGGCTAGGCTTGGCTAGAGAACAGTCAGTGGGAACAGCAGAAAGGGGTCAGAGGGTAAAGGTGTCATGACTCCGAGATGTGATTATCAGGACGTTGGCTGATTGGTTGTTTCCGTAGAGCTGCCTGCAAGCTGGCCAGCGGAAAAGGTCCAAGCATGCTGAGACTTACCATACTCTGCCGTGCAGGCCTGGGGATGGGGGAGTGTTGGGGGTGGGGGCTTGCACATGCCTCCCTTCCTGAGTCCCTCTGCTCCCTCCCTTCCCTTCTCCTCCGGTCTTTCTGGCCTGGGCTAGCCTCCTCCTTCTTCTTTTCCCACAATATGTGCACCCACTGAACCCCCCACTCTCATCCTTTCCCTGCCCCCTGGCTTGTGTCTCTTGAAGTCAGTTTGCCACATTCATCAGGAGTGTTTAAAGGATCTCTGTGGGTCACCGTCTGCCCCTCCCTTCTCACTAACTGGATCTGAGGGTGGGGCACTTCTCGTATGTCCCATTCTTGGGTGGGCAGTAGGGGACATATAGGGAAAGCATTAGTAGCTCCAGAATCTTCCAGAACACCTGATGTGGGGTGATGCCCCATAGTGTGGGTGGCTCACACAGCAAGCTGGAGGCAAATCTTCTAAGACCTGGAACCAATCTTTCAGCAGACCTTCCCATCTCCTTCATTAAGAAACTGTCCTCATAGAACAAGGGCCACGTTCCTTAGGGACACTTCCCAGGGTCTTCCCTTCCAAACAGCGGGGGACTCAGCTTGTCCACACTCAGGGAATCCTCCTGCCGGAACCTTCTCATTGGTGGGCAGGCCTTTGCCCCAAGGGTTTTCACTACACGTACACACATGTCCTCCTCAACACCCATGATTCTGAAAAGTCATTCAGAGTACTGTGTGGGCAAATTACAAATGGCCTCTGAAATGAAAAATATCGGGGTCCCATTGAAAGGTCTGGAGGAACATCAGAACTATCGTTAACCTCTACTGCCTAAGAAACTTAACACACATTAGCCTACAACTGCAGGAATGCTGCAGACGCAAGACCCTCTCCGGGAGCCCTTGTTCCCACACTAGGCAGTAGAAGACTATCATCACCGTGGGTGACAGGAGCCGCCCTCCCTTCCTGAGTGATGCAGCATCCCACCAGTGAGCGTTTCGTGTACACAGGTTACATACCAATTTTGGAAGTGAGTGTAATGTTCCCATTTTCCAGGTGAAAAAACTGAAACTCAGGCGTTAAAGTTAGTAAGTGGCAGAACTAGCTGTGCCTTTGGCCTTGCCACGATGGAGCAGCAATATCCAAGTCTCTGGGCATGAGATAACCCACCTTCCACAGAGAAGAGTGTCCCAGGAGACTCCCTAGGGACATACGTGGCCCATTTTAAAGGACCAAGACTCATGAAAATTTAACTGCAAATTCATTTCCAGGTGACTTTTAAGAGGAATGTCCCAGAGCCTTTTTTTGTTTTGTTTTGCTTTGTTTTTTTGGTTTTGATTTTTCGAGACAGGGTTTCTCTGTAGTTTTGGAGCCTGTCCTGGAACTAGCTCTGTAGACCAGGCTGGCCTCAGACTCACAGAGATCCACCTGCCTCTGCCTCCCAAGTGCTGGGATTAAAGGCATGTGCCACCACCACCCACAGAGCCCTTCTTTAGATGAACCCCAAGACATGACAATAGGATTAAGTTAGGAGGAGGATGGCTGAGCTCCTCCAGAAAGAAATGAATTCCCTGAGCTGGCTGCAGTGAAGTGTGCCCCGATGCACTCGTGGAGGTCAGAAGACAGCCCGTGGGAGTCCCTTCTCCCCTACCATGTGGGGAGTGAACTCAGTCTCAGTCTAGGTGGCAAGCACCTTTTTCTGCTGGGCCATCACAACAGCCCAACGGTACAAGTTCAAGTGGTGATGACGTAAGAGAATAAACTAGAGAGACACATCACAAGGGAGAGTAACCCGAGAACATTCATATGCCCGGGTGTGTGCACACATGCACGCGCATGTGCACACACACACACATACACACACACCCCATCCTGTACACATGTGTATAGACTGCAGTCACGCATACATGAGCACATGCCGGTGCTCCAAACAAAGTCGCCTTGACGCCTAAGGAAACAGCAAAGGGATGAGAACTAACTGGGCAAGAGGGAGCCAGAGAGATGGCTCAGAGATTAAGAGTGTGTACTGCTCTTAGAGAGGACCCAAGTTCTGTTCCCAGCACCCACAGGGGACAAACCACACCACCTGTCACCCCAGTTCCAGGAGGCTCTGACACATCTGTGGATACCTGGAGTCGCATATGCACGCGTGCGCGCACATACACATGCACACGCACACACACCTATTTAAAAAGAAAATAAACCCTAACTGGGACAAGAGGTTGTCAGCCCAAAGCCCTTCAAGATTAAACCATTAAAGAGATAGAAGGTACCCCCTATCCTCCTCATCCTTTCCTGGGCTTTAGATCAGCAAAATTGGGCACTTCTGTCTTTAGTGGGCTCTTCTTCCACTTCAGCTCAGAGATGCCCCTGCCGCCACCTCCCTGTCCTCCCTGTCCTCCCCCTACTTCTTAGGTGCTTAGAGTTGGGAGGTGGATGTGTCCCACAATCCCACCAGGGTGCTAACCTCATTAAGACAAGCTACTTTCCCGTCTGTCCTTTCGCGTGCCTTTCCCCTCCAACATATGAACGATACTAAAGTTTTGATGATGTGCTGCTGTTGTTTTTTTCTCCCCTCACCTTGGACTAAACCATTACTTACAGGGGGAGAGGGGGAAGAAAGGCTCTAGAGGGCCTAAAGGGGATAAAGGGGACCAAGGAGCGCCTGGACTAGACGCCCCCTGCCCGCTGGTATGTCTTCGTTCCTCCTTTGCATGGTTTTGAGTTTTCTTTCCACAGGGTTTCGGGTTGGGAACAAAGGCGGCAAAGGCGCGGAGGACGAGCGGAGCTCCACAGATGCCACCAAGCTTGTCTGTGCCTTGGCAGTCCTGCCTGCCGAGGGGGGCCTCAGAACCACAGCTGCAAGCCATTCTGCTAAATCCCTTGCCTTTGAGTCCCTCTCCTTTGAAGGTCGAGAACAATGGATTGGATGGAAGGAGGGGACCAGAAGGGTTTGGGGAGAAGGTCTCAGGCTCTGGCCCTAGTGTGCTTTGCAAACCCACACAAGATTTGCGTCCTTTGTGTCATGGCCGCCTCTGTGGCCTGCAGCTCTGGCTCTCTGAGACCTCGCTCGGTCAGGATGCAAGACCCCACAGTCAGTCTCCTAAGGGCCACTGAGAGTCCGTGCTGAATGGAACAGGGCCAGATAAAGGGCTTTTCATGCACTGCCCAGCAGCCCAGATAAGACTTGGAAAGCTGCAGAACAAAATGGGTAGACAGCCCCAAGCGGCCTTCTCAATAAGCCAACAATTAATTGGTGCATTGGCCTGGCTTCTAACGTGAACTTTCAAAGCTCTGGAAGGTTCTGAAAGCCATGCTACACTCTATGACTGTGTCAGGTTGGGGTCTCAGTGCAGACAAGACTGGCTTTGTTCCATGACTGCACTTCCCCTTATTTGTAAGTGTCTGCGTGTATCAGGTTCTGCATCCTGGCCAGGCTAGGACTGGGCCTTTCCGCTCCCCAGCTGGAGACGGCTGACTTCGACCTCAGTAATCATCATGATTGGTTTTATGAACAGGGCCACCGAGGTTTTAAAGGAGAGAAAGGGGACCCGGGGCTACCAGGGCTGGACGGACTGGATGCCCCATGCCCACTGGTATGGCATTTCCCTCTGCTTGCATGGCCAATCTGGGCTACCCCACGTGTGTGGTGTGTACCCGCGTGCCTCCTGATCCTCTTCCTCTGCTCTCCCAGCTCCTGCTTCCTGGTTCTTCACTCTGTAGACACCAAGAGTCACGCTACCTAAAGCTTCGGATGTGCCCAGCCATGTTACCCTCTGCATGCAAAGTGTGGCCAGGTGTTTTCTAAGCTACAACTACTTCTGAAGTAACCCCCGCAACATCAACCAGGCCCCTGCAAAGCCAGTCTTGGCTGCATCCAATCCTTATTGACTAACTGCATCTAGACTATTCTGGAAGCTAAGGCATCAATTCGTTGGGCAGGATTTTAACACACCTCCACGTGGTGCCCTTAGCCATGAATGCACAAGATAAGCAAACTAACCAAACACAGAGTGAGCTGCCAGTCACCTGGCCAACCACGCCCAGATGTGAACATACCCCTTCCCCCACAGTTTAGCAAGGGACACGCACGAGGCATGCTTCTAGACAGAGACATTCTATTTATAATTAAGGTGGAGGTAGGGGTCACCCTGTCCATTCTTTTAGGTCCAGAATCCTGGGTCATGGCTCAGGTGACCGCATCAAAACTAGAGTGTGGTCCAGGATCAGGTGTTAGATGCTAAAGACCCAGCAGGCTGTCCTTTGGTGTCTCTGCCCTTTGTCTTTAGGTATTTCACTGGGAAAAAAAAGAGGTAGAAAGGTCTAGAATGGAGTTAGGAGGAGTTAGGAGGTGGTCAAGTACCCCTGAGCATGTCTGGAGCTGAAACTCAGGTGCTGGTCTCTCCCAGGCCCAGTCTTGCTCCAGACGGTAACTTCCCCAGTCTCTGCATGACCCTCTTAACTGTAAAAGAAACAGAAGACAACTCCTGGCCCTGCCTTCCATTTCCCCAGGAGATCCCGAAGCTGCTGTCACCGCAGCATTCCCTGCCCCACATCCCCACCCCGTCACCCCAGGTCCTCTCTGATAAAAGGTGGCATTAGACAGCATGGATGGCCATAGCGTTCGTGGAAGAGCACCAGAGATGTTTTAGAACACAAATGCAAAGCCAGCCTGCTCAGGTCAAGCACACAGAGTAGCAAGCAAGCCTCTCGATAGGATTGGCCCTGCCCTCCATCCCTAGCATGCCGCATGCATGGGTGCTTCCAAAGCGCTTCCATGAATTAAAAGCAGTCTTTCCTGGACCCCAATCATCTCCCCCTCCCTGCTCCCCCCTCCAGCCCCCTTCTGAGCACTCTTATTTCTCTTAGGCGCCTTGGCCTTCCCACTCTCCTCCTGCTCTTCCTCTGTGCCCTGCCACCATCCATCCGGATGGAAATGCCACTGTGGTCCTCAAAGGCCCCTGCTCCCTCCCAGAGTTGGTGTGCAGTGTGCCGCACTGTGGCAGTGGGGTGACTTGGCATGCCATGATAGACTGCAAAGGGGACAGAGGGGCACCACGAAACTGAAATACACCACCTCCTGCAAGTCCTCGTCCAAGCCGAGAGGAGAAATGAGGATAAATATTGGTTGACCATTCAAAATGGTGTCTTTTCCAATAACATCACATAATGACATGTCCTTTGTTTTGAATTGGCAGGAATGGGGTACAGGAGCTATTGACAGGACTTTAGCGCATGCTAGGTTTTCTTTGGGCTGGGGCAAAACTTGATGTATGTCAGGTGATTGGGGGGTTCCCTGTTGGAATGGGTGGAGAAGACCACAGAGATTGTAATTCCAGGATGGGGTTGCCCTTCTCCTAGACCTAGACTAAGATCCAGAGCTCTGCTCTTGGTTCCACCTGACCTTTCCCCAAACCTGACCTCTGGAAGATTCCAGGACTGCCTCGGGGTGTGCCAGAGAGGCCAGAATGCCAGGCCCGAGAAGGCTTGTGAATGTTCCGTGGCGCAGGCACAGCGTCCTGAGGCTGCTGCCTCACTCTGCCAATACATAGTCGCTTCCCACCTGAATGTCCCGTTCCCCTCCAGATTCGAGTATCTGAGGCAGGGTCAGAAAGACCTCTCAAGAGCCTGTTGCAGTCCCCCTGAGGCTGCCTGTCACTTGCCACCCTGTCCCCGCCTAGTGACCATTATCTGGGACTGTTGGGGTGACACCTCCCATGGCTTAGGAAGAGAAACAAGCTCAGGCAGGCTGGGGACCACGGCGCACGGGAGGTTTGCAGAGGAAGACCAGGAGGCCCAATTGCCCTGTAACCTGAGCTCCTAGCACTCCACCGAGTCAGAACCAAGATGGTCCTCTGTGCTATTCACGGACATTTGTGGACATCTGTGCAAACAAAGCCCACAGGTCACAGCAGTCCCGCTTAGCCTTGCGGCAGCTACATTCACCATTAGCCAAAGGGGAAAACGGTGGCATCTAAATGCTTCCCACCCACTTCTAAGGGGACCCAGAGCAAGGAATGAAGCAGCCAACAGTGGGTAGGCTGCGTCTCAATGGGACTGTGGAAATGTCTGTGTCCTTGTCAGCTGTCTACTAAGCTGTCTCAAGAGCCTAAGCACTCTCTGCCTCCTCACAGGGAGAAGATGGCTTACCAGTCCAAGGCTGCTGGAACAAGGTAAGATTCCCAGAGGCCCTTGCACCTCGGGGTCAAAGGTGCAGCCCGTTCCCAACAGCGCCGTAAAGTTTCCATCCTGCTTTTCTGCAGATGAGACAGCAAGATGTGGGTCAAAAATGGTGCCACTTCATTGGCGGTTGGCAGGGGAGAGGGGTACGCATTAAATATCCAGTTGCTACACACACCTGGAGAACACTTAGAGATGTTTTAAGGGACCAGATGTGTAGATCAGTTGAGGAGCATGTTTGCTTAGCATGCACAAAGCCCTGAGTCTGATCCCCAGCACCGCATAAATCCTGCATGGTGGTACATATATGCAATTTCAGTCCCCACTCACTTAGGAGGTGCAGGCATCCCAAATACCAAGATATCACCAAGTCACAATGCCATTGTCACTTGCCATCATTGAAGCAGTCAGCCAAAGGTCACAAGGCCAGCCCTCTCAGCCACAGCTCCCAAGTCACAGGACTCCCCAACCTAAAGACAGAAGCCTGCCTTTGTCCTCAGCATGGTCTACAGCAGGTATCCAGCCGTCACCCTGCACCTCACCACCTCTTCAGCATCCTCTCAGCCCCTCCCACCATCATCCAAGCTGACCAGTATGTCCTCATTGTAGAATTCATGGCCCCACACTTGCGAGAGTTTAGGCTTAGTCAGTGCCTGTGGCTCAGAATTGTACGAGATCACTCAGCGACCCTGTACCCCCAACAGTCAAAATCTCGCCAATGCACAGGACTAGAAAAGGTAGGGAGACAAACAAGATCTCGACTGAACACCTGGGTACCTAAAGCGCTCACAAGCTATAGAAAGAAAAAGTTCAGTATTGAGGGGACGGTGTCTCCCCACACACACACACAATCTGCACTTCAGCCTCACTCAGAGGTTTCAGACTTTAAATAAGACCCTCCTCGGTCCCCAAAGATTCTTTCTCAAGGTTGTTGCTGGTGGGCAGCACATGGAACATGTTGAACTTAGCAGGGGGAACCACAGCTGCTGTCCAGAGCTACAGCATGTTCGAGAAGCAACTAAAAAACCCCAGGTCTGCTGGTTCACACCAGCAATGCCGGCAGGGCAGATGTAGTGCATAGCGTGGTTTCTAAGACCGCATAAAGAGACTGCCCTCTAGTGGTCACATCCGGGAGTAACTTCCAAGTGAAAGGAGTTTCCCTTGGAGTGGGGAACTGTCTTTTGCAAGTCCAAATGAGGGTCTTTCCTCTAGCAGGGTTAATGCTCCTCACTTCCCTGTCCGAGACTCTGATGCAATCAAAGGCAAACCCACCTCCTTTCCTGCAGGGAAGCCAGCGGTCAGGCCCGGAAACTAACTCGCTGTCATTCTGGTTTTGTTTTGCAGTGACGCCTCTAACCTCGGATTGGCCTGTGTGTGTTTGTACATAGGATATTTATTTTTATACAGTTTTCACTTTCTGAAAATGCCCAAAGTATGATGCATCTTACAGATCATTGAAAAAGAAAGAGGAAAGCCTGCATATTTTGTACAGAAAATAACCCTTCCCCTTTTGTTTACAAGACGTTTTTGTATAAATCTGTTTCTAATACACTTCCTGTCTGTGAGTCTGCTCCTAATGTTGCATGATATTTGTGCACACTTATTAAATATCACAGCTTAATAAGTTATTGTGTTCCAGCACCAAAGGGGGCCGCCAGCACAGAGGTGCTGCAAGCTTACGTGTGAATTCACAGAAATGTGGAGATACATGGCGTCTGCCAGACTAGATGTGTCTGACAATATTTTACGCTTAACTGACTTTCATTATTAAAAAAATGAAAAGTGGCAATTTATGATCCTGATTAATCGCTAAATTGAATCCATTCTGTCTTGTGCAAGCAGGAAGTCTCAGAAGCACGAACCCTCAGAAGTGTGGAGCGATATTGGGAAATGTTAGCTTCAACAAAAGGAGGGTGGGGACTCCTGTAGGAGATGTTTCTTATGTCAAACCCTAAATTCACCACTTGAGCATTGAGGGTTCAGCAATACCGAGGACCCCCCCAGGGCTGCAAAGGGGACTTATGTATTGCTTCAGGGTTTGGGTAGGGCTTTTGTTTGTTTTAATTCCTTTCTTTTTTTTCCTTTTTTCTTTTTCTTTTTTTTTGAGACAGGGTTTCTCTGTAACTTTGGAGCCTGTCCTGGAAGTAGCTCTTGTAGACCAGACTGGCCTTGAACTTACAGAGATCCGCCTGCCTCTGCCTCCTGAGTGCTGGGATTAAAAGCATGCGCCACCCCCACCCGGCCGTTTTAGTTTCTTTGCCCTATTTATATTTTCTGTTGCTGTGATAAAATATCATCACCAAAGACAACCTAGAACAGCAAAGGGTTG